AATTGGCCACCTCATTTTCTTTCGTGCAACATTCACGAAAAAAATAGGTTCAGAAACTAGATCGATTTTCTATTTGGACATCTCTCGAATTGGGAATGATGCATCGGGAGCTCCAGCCTTATATAATACTGTGCGATTCCAGAGGTTTGCATAACGAGGATTCGAACTCAGAACTTCGAGCAGATAAGCAAAAAAAATGTTTTTGAAGAACAACAAAGCCGAAGATGGCGATGACGATGAACAGGTGATATGTACTGTATATCCGCTGTCAACTCGTTTTTATTATTTTTTTTATATGCATGGGGGAGTATAAATTTATTTTAACGGTGTAATAATTTAAAACAGTTGTACTTATTTCTGCCAACCAGGTGATTCTTTAAATCTTTAGAATGTAACTTATTATCTGAGATTCAAAAATCCGCCTTGTGTACTCCATACAAGCGTGGATATTCTGCTGGAATGTGTTGCCAGTGTCGGTATTGTGCGTGCATGTCGGGCAGAAATAACGAGTCGTCAGGAGACCTTACCACACAAGAAAAGACACCATTGTGACCTTTTTGTGCACACTTCTCGTCAGTTTGAGCTCCCTTTTACCTAATTCCGTACATTTACACTAAAACAAGAGTCACACGTAGCCAAATCGATTCCACGTCTCCTCGACAGGGTGCCAACCTGATCGCAAGCATGGTGTCGTCCTTGCAAGCCCCGAATGCCAGCAACCGATTGCCATCGTCTTCACCCACGGGCTCGCGACCTGCTGGCCAATCCATGGCGCTCATCTCGGCGTACCTGCTGAAGCAGAGCGCTGGCAAGTGGAAGCGCAAACGCTGGAACCAACGCTGGTTCGTCCTAGACCGGGACAGTGGACTTCTGCGCTACTTCCGCCATGCATCACCCCTGGAGGCTGTGCCGTTGAGACAGGACGCCCACGGAGTGGTGTCGCTCAAGCAGGGGGGCGTGTCGCTCGTAGTGCAGGGAGATCTCCCCTCTGGAGTGCCGACACCCTTCTGCTTCACAGTTTTGGTGGACGGTCAGCGCGAATTGAGGCTTTGTGCAGACACAAACGCGGAGTTTCGACAATGGACAACGAGCATTTCGGCTATTATCAGCCCAGTGAGAGCAGGGCTGAGAGTGTCGGAGGCTAAGGTGGTGCCGACGACACCGGCGAGTCCAGTGCCGAGGACGTCGTCGGATGCGGAAGTGCCGTCACCGGTGGAATCTCCGGTAACGGAGACGAAGGAGAAGAAAGTGGAGACTGTTGATAAGAGCAGGGAGATGGAACCGAGAGAAATGGTAGAACAGGTAAGGTAGGAATGGGGAGGGGGGAATCTTTTTTTTTGGTTTTATGCTGACTGGAATCGTATCTTAACTATGGCAGATGTGCAGCTTGGTCACCAGCAACAGAACCGTGTTGTTCGCTTTAAATCCTGTTATTGGTAAGAATTTTGTATGGTGTTAGTCTTTGAGGAATACAACTGACTTCAGGTTATTACTTGTGTGTCGCAGTCCTCGTGCGATTTGGGAACGTTTCTGTATGGTTATTGATTGCGCTGTTGGCCAACGCGTTCTGCATGTGGCTGCTCTGGTTTCGTACGACCGAAGGAACCGTTAACCAGACATCTTCGCCTGCTACAGCTTGTCGCTCAGCTTCAATGAAAAACGGCAGCTTATCCCCCTCAGTGTCGACTGGATCCGCGAATGACGCGGAAATGCCTCGAGACAAGCCCAGCACCAAACTCAAAACCCAATCGCGCGATCGAACGCTTAGTAGCTCGGTTGATGAAAAACCCAAACGTGCTGCATTTTTGGGTCAAATCAATGGGGTGAAAATTTCAGCTGGTGCCTCGTTGAAACTGTGTGCACCTGCTGCATCGGAGACCGTCAGTGGGAGCTGGGCACACGTCGACGCGACTCGTTTTAACGTCCGCCAAGGTAAAATGCTTAAAGTGTTTACTTGTGTCGTGTGTGGTGCTAACTGTACGTCTTTTTTGCACTCACAGGACCAAACTATCGCAAGACGAAGCTCAAAGCTGCCTCAGCTCCAGCCTTGTTGGAACTTGTCGCTGTAGATGTCTACCGGGTTTGTACTCACTTACAAATTAGTGGCGTTCTAGATCGTACTCACAGTTTCTCGCGTGTTTTCATTAGTCGGATGTTAAAGCAGACAACATCGGCAGCATCGTCGACTTGAGCGATTTGAGGCCTCAAACGTTAGTACTAAAGGTCAACTGGGGAATTCGAGTTCCCTACTAATGTCGTATTGTTTGCTTTACAGAGGAAAACTGGATCTGATCATCGTGAACTGCCAAGTTCCTTCCTACCAACCCTCCAATCCGCTCTGGGGCGAGAAACAAGGAGATGGCCCAGGCTTCAACTTCGTCACGTATTTTTCTATTCCTCCAGCTATTCGAGAAATGCTCGATGCACCAGGTGAACCATCGCTACAAGCAGTTCGGGTACGTAACCCCTTGCTAAATGGTTGAGAGGAAGATCATATTTTTTTTTTTTAATCTTATCGCTGTGTATTTTTTCTCAGCTTCTCAAAGATTTTATGCAACCCCAAAGCTGGGCGGTACGTGCTAGATCTCTGTGTGTTTCCCCAACGTCTGTAGGCTGATCTACTTTTTATTTTTGTAGAGCGAGCGGTTCAAAGCAATTGGCATCGTAGTGAACCCTCAGGAGCAGAACTTGGGGCGAGCTGAGCGACGTTTACTCGAGACTTACAACGGCCAGCCTATTCTGACGCGGCCGCAACATCGGTTTTATCGAGGAGACGGCTACTTTGAGGTTGATGTGAATGCCCACGACTTCAACTACATCGCGCGCAAAGGACTTGTCGGAGTCTCTACTCATGCGTGCAACATGATCCTAGACTTTGGTTTCGTGCTCGAAGGCCAAGAAGACAACGAGCTGCCAGAGCAAATACTAGGATGTGTCCGACTCTGCAAGGTCGACGTACGCGAAGCACCTTGGCTCTCCTAAACAAGAAATTCAGCAGCCACCAATACGTATAAATACCGGATAGACGCTTATTGTTTTTTACTGCGTCGATATCTTCATTCGTAAATGGTTATTTACCGCGGTAATTCGGAGTATAGATGTTGATGAAGTCACAATAAGCTGGGGATGTCAATCTCCGCCGCCGCAATCGCCCCCACCTCCTCCGTCACCACCACCACCTCCATCGCCACCTCCGTCTCCACCTCCGTCTCCACCTCCGTCGCCACCACCATCCCAGCCTCCTCCGTCGTCCCCACAATGGTGTCCCCCGTCATGTCCATCGTGACCATCGTGATGTCCGTGATGTCCGTGATGTCCGTGGTGACCCGCACCACCTGAGCCAGCACCACCGAAGTCTGTATACGTAGCGTAGTCACTACTCACCGCAGTCGTATCTCCGCCATTATCCGTCCTATTCGCTCCACGAGGACTATTCGTCTTCCCTCGCGGACTATTGCTCGATTTGCCTCGTGCTCCACTATCTGTGCTGCTGGGCTTTGAGTTGATACACCCCATTGTAGTTGGCGTTTTCAAGCGAAAATGTAATGAGGGACCTTCGATTGCTTTTAAGACAGGAAAAGGACCTTGCTTAAGCGCTGCCGTTGCGCATGTACACCCATCATCTGCACCGAATAAATTCGCTTTTGCTTTTAATGAAACGAATTGAAGTGCAATTCCGGATAATCGTTCGTTTCAGCCTATAAAAGGCAACTGCAACGCTAAATCGTGAACGCCTACACCGCTCGATGGTGACGCTGCAGCCAGCATCTCGTCCTTGGCTCTAAATGTATTCAGCTGAAAACGGGAAAAGGTATGTCCCCGTGAAATTTACACAGTATACACCTGCTAATTCCTTCCAACCAAAAACACGCGATCAATATGAATAGAAATTCTCAACAATAAGGAGATGGTTATTGGTATAGCTGTAATAAGCAAGCGTAGAATGTCTCGATAAACTCTGAAACAATGGATATTTGTTTTAAAGTGAAACAGTTAAAACTCTGAACTGACTGGGGCGCTAGCTCGTTCAAGGAGCCAATCTCGTGACTCCGCTGTGCGTAACATGCGTAACCGCAGCGCCTACCCAGTTAGTTAGCGCACTTTGTCAGATAATCTCAATAGGTAAAAACCACAAAACGGATTGTTTGTCAAGCGTCACCCATCATGACGAGCACAGGATCCAAAGTTCGGGTCAATCAACCTACAAGCGAGGGAAATGATCCATTGGAGACCTACGAATTTGTTCCTGATCATCTGCGTCACCACTTCAAAGCAGACCTTGAAGCTTTTCTGAACGAGGAATCCGATCGTGAAGAGCGGGAACTCGTTCGTCATGCTCGTCAGGCTCGAAGTGCCTATTTGGTGGCTAATTCCCTCTCACAGCAGCCACGTCCAGCCTCAACGCAGTTACTGTATTCTAACGCTATCGAGCGAGCTATTACAGCTCGAATGACATACTCTCGAGCACTGGAAGGATTGGAAAAATATTTTAACGACGTGATGGCCAAAGTGAAGCATCTTGAAATTCAGCACCCTAGCAGTGGTTTTGATAGCAGTGGCCTGAAAATCCCAACGTTGATGCAAACCCAACGACAGATCATAAACGTTTGTCAAGGTTGTTTAAACGACTGTGATCTCTATCTGGGTATGTACGAGGCGCTTCCAAGCCCACCTGCTACGGCTCCAACCCCTATCGTTCGGTATGTTGCGTGCTCTACAAAGAGCTCAATGCTGCACCAGAGACTCGAGTGTCCTTTTCAAGCTTCGGAAGGCCAGCAGCATCCTCAGTCAGCTGATAACCAATCCAGATCAATGTGCATTACAATGCAAGCTATGGTCGCAAAAGAGGCTATTATTGTGGATGACATAGCAGACCTCGAGCCGAGCGAAATCCATCGATTTTCGCTGAATCAAACGTCGACAGGATCGTTCTCATGCTTCCCTTTACTTACCAGTGAGACCGGGACAAGCACCGCAGTGATTGGAGTCCTCTCTGTGGACTCATGTCGAAAAGCACATCGTTTACTGCCTCAGTCAATGTCAGTGGAAACTCTGTATGCGTTTCTGCTTCGAATGCAGCTGAAAGACGCTGCAGTGGAGTTCAAGAAGGCGAAAATGGATGGTGCTCACTTTCTTGCGCTCACCGAAATCGACCTCCGACATAAACCGAGTTTCCTGCGCCTTAAAGTGGCTACAAGAAATAGGTTAATGGAGCTCACTCGCGCTCTTCAGCGTGGCAGTCGGATACACCTCCCTGATAGTAATGAGCGCGCACCGCCCTTTACTCAAGACGATGATGCGGTAGAATTTCTTGATGATGTTTCAAAACTATCAGGAAAATTTCTTGGTTGTTATCGTCGAATTCATTGGATTCAAGAAATTGCGAATAGTACGCGGAACCAAGGCTGTACTGCCTATGACGTTTACGACGTACTGATTCGTGCTATCACGCAGTCGTTGGAGAGTTTGGAACGTGTCGGAGTGTGGAAAATCACGAAGAAAGGAGCAAATGGCACTACAGCGCCAGCTTCCTGTCAATGGGAAATAGACGTCGTTGCGTCTACTTCAGTTCCGGACGATCGACTTGTTCCGTTCCTTGATGCACAGGAACGAAAGATGAAGCGAATCGCTCTCTACAAGGAGAACGAGGACGCTATTCGGGCTTCTCGTGAGACCGGAAATGGTGTTTATACGTCTTTGCTTCGTGGAGGAATTATTAACGTCACTTCAAAACCTGAGACCCCTTCTTCTCCGGGTTCATATTCTTGTGAGAACGTCACGTATCATGTTTCATGGTCGGATCGATCGATCCAGACGTTGTCGTGGGTGCAGCTTCGTCAACTTCTTCCTATTCGGACGATGAACGCTAAGCATTTCCAGCTACGCCAACTCTGTCAACAGCTCCAAGACGAAGAAAATGAAGCAAAGAAACAAAAGTCTGAGTTGTCGAAGTCCCTGAGAATCAACAACCCGAATGGAGTCGTGATCGTCCTCCGAGATGCCTCAAGATCAAGCGACGTACAATACGTTCTGGAAGTGGACTTAACAGCTCAGTTTGAGCCTCCCCCAGAATTCCTTGATTTCTTAGAACGAGCGGTTGTTGTAGCTGAACAAGCGCTGACGTGTGTTCGTGGTCGCGAAGCACGGCAGAGTATACGCAAACATGCAGTGGCGAAAAACACGCAGCGATTCCAATGCATTGGCCTCAATCCGTCTGGAGATGCCCTCCGAGCTCTGCAAGATATCGTCCACAGAGTGTTTCATGACATCGTCGATAGTTTACCTGGTACTCACGTACAAATCGCAGAGCTTCAAGCCGACGGAACCCAACTGCAATATACGTTTGTGAGTCAAGGATCGACAATTCTTGGTTGCTCATTAAATCGAGGCCAAGGCGTGTCATTCAAATGTCTTGACACAAAACAAACGGTTGTAGTGGGGGCGATGTCCAAGTTGAGGCCACTATTACAGCGCTTTGGCCTACTACGAAGCCAACCTCAAGCGCTCGACGACATGTTTCCGTTCATTTTCGTTCCTCTATATCATGAGGACTGCTGTGTTGGTGTACTCAGTGTCGACTCGTTTCAAAATGTTCCAAAGGGGAGACACGACGAAGCTCACCCTGAAGCTGGAGTACTGGAATTCTTGGCTCCGTTGGGTAAATTACTTGCGAGTGCCATTTACGCAAAGCGTCGGTCTTATGCGTTGCATGAGCTTCAGCTCGGATGCCATGAACCGCTGCGTTCACCACAACAGCTGCTGTTCTATGCCTGCAGAGCGTTGAGAGATGTTATGGTTGGAGCTTGGAAAGTTCGAGTTGTGGAAATCGATGGAGTGCGTGGAAAAACGACTCTCGTGTATGAATTTTCAGAGGCTGAGAGAGAGCAAGCCCGGTCTTGGTTGTTTAATGTGGTTCGTCCCATGGCTTTTCGCTGGAAGGAATTGTGTACAGACACGATTGCGAAATACTTAAACCAACTGCAGGAAAGTCACGAAAAGAATGTCAGTGTGATGAACCTATTGGCTGCTATTAGAGAAGACGAACAAGAACGTCAGAACACTGTGGAAAGGTATCAACAATTAATTGCTGAAGAACAGACAGCTCTATCTAATGCTCCGCGTAGATCAGCGATCGAGACGGAGAAGGCAAAACTTGTGGAGAGGCAACTTGCGGACAAATATTTCTTGTTACTTGACAATTCGATGCTAAACGAGGAGTTAACTGTCGGTGCTGATCGAATCTCAAACCAAAAGTATATCGCCCACGCCATGAAGTTGTTTCTTGGTTCATCGACGTGTTTGTACTCTGATGTCGAGGCAATGGGTCGAGCAACATCCCGAATATTTCTCACGATTACGGCGGTGCCCCAATTTCACGCAAGTTGTGACCAGGTTTATTTGCAACGCGTGGCCAGCATCACATCAAAGTTCTTGGCAGCATTGCACGATAGAATTCGTCGGTCGAATGAGCGTACTAAAGCTCTCAGCATATTCCGTGATCTTTGCCAAAAAGCTCTTACCTGTGATGACGTATCGCTTACTGGCACGGATAAAAACACACGTGGTGGGCGCTATAATCATAAATTACCTCCCACCAAAGAAGTTGAGATGGAGTGTCTGCTTCAGCTGCAAAGAGACACAATTGCGCTAATTGAACGCACTTTGGGCTCTCCAAATGTGTACTTTGGGATGTGGGAACCAGTACTGCGGATTATCCGGTACACTAGCGCCTCAAAATCTAGTGTTATGGCTGGAAAGAAGCTGAAACATGGGTATGGAGTCAGCTTTCTGACACTGGAGAAACAAATTCCTATTGTGATAACCAGCCGAGATGCAGCAAATGAAGAAGAAATAGCCTCAAATTTCAAGAAGCTCCGCTACTTTACAAATGAGCCAGTGGAAGACCGTAAGTGGCCGTTTATTGTCGTTCCAGTTGGTAACTTAGGAGTGTTAGCGTTGGATAACATGCATTCGTACGAACAAGAATCTCGCGAACTACAGCCAGAACTAGGCGTCGTGGATTTCTTACGTAAAATTGGCCAAAGTTTTGCTGAAGTTCTTACTGTTATTCGTGAACGGACAGTTCAACAACGCCAACAACTCCGCGACGAAGCGCTACTCCATGTGATGACTGCCTCTGAGAATTTCAAACCGAATACGAGAAATATTGCGAAAGTGTCAGGGTATCTTCCACGCTTGGTTATTCAGCAAATTGAAAACGCTCTCAATGGTGTAGACGCCTATTTAGGACTGGTTGATCCACTATGCGAGCGGATTCGCTTCATTTGTGCGTCTTCAAGGAGTAAAATGGAGGGTAAGACGGTCGATGCAGCTCAGAGTTTATCCTTCCGTGTTTTTTCTAGCCAGCGCTCTATCGTGATTCCACAGCTTCCTCAGTACTTTAAGGAACAAGAAAAAATCCAACAACACAGCAGTATACATGGGCAAAAGTTAACGTATTTCGGAGGTTCAAAACCGCCGCAAGGGCCGTTTGTCTGCGTTCCAGTGCCATTCGTTGGGATATTATCTGTCGACACATTTCCCGGAGCTGCTGGCGGTGTCTTCTCTCCTTCGTTCCCTGAAGATGGCGTGGTGGCGGTTTTGGAGAAGATAGCGAACTATCTAGGAGAGAATATCCGTACTTTAGCAGCTAACGAGGCTAAGAAGCAACTCCCAACGCTGTTTCGAGGAAATCGAACGACATTCCCACTACTTTTTCAAGAGATTCTAGCGATCTTATCGCGCAATTTGGTTGCAGTATTCGACATGCAAGCACGTTGCTATGAACGTGATAAACAAAGTGGAACATGGAACAGGAAGGGACTGCTATCTTCAACACGGCGATCAACAAGTCTAAACCACGAAGATTTCGACGTTGATGCTGAAGATCGTTTGATGCAGAGTCTTGAGGATCGGTACAGGCAAGATGGCTATCTGAATAATGAGAGTAGCAACGAAGAGGTTGTTTTGTCGCCAGTACACCAGCTTTCTCGATATCCTGAGACTCTGGTTGTTCATTGTGCTTCGACTCGTGTTGTTGCTGATGATGACGCAGTTTTAGTCCCGACAGTGCTGGTTTTACGTCGTGTCAAAGGCTCTACTTGGAAGTACGATGAGGATTTTCTACTGTCGATCCTACCGCTTATTAACTCACTAATCGAGTTAGTAAACGTCCGAATTGAAGGTATCGTAGCGCGTCGACTGGCTACACGGAAGATAAGTGAATTATGTGGAACGTTGGAGAGCTTGCCAGCCACAGAAGCAATTCAAGCCTTGTACGCCACCATGCTGCCTACTTCAGCGGAGACCATAGCGCAGGCATTGAGCCGAGACTGCGATGTTTATCTTGGCCAACGAGACCTTACAGATCGAACCAAGAGTCAAGTATCACGTCTCCAGCTTCGGTTTGTTGCTGCTTCCAGCCGAAGTCTCATGCAAGACGTTGCAATCGACCTGGAAAACACTGACAACTTATCTCTCACCGTTGTTCAGTGTCTTCAAAACCAGAAATTCGCTGAAATTTCTTTGATTCGAGAGACTTCTCCGGTTCGTTCGCTTACAACGAAATCAGTCCAGCGAGTGTATCTTGCAGACCCGATGGGTGACAACTACGTGCTCTGTGCAGATAGTTTAGGAGAAGAAGCGTTTGTTCCTGGAAAGCGACAACTTGAGCCTGATGTTATCTCATTTTTTAAGACAATCGCGTTGAGACTTCAAGAGACTATCATGTCGACTCGACATCGCTTGAGTTACGATCAGCTACGAAGCCTCACGACGCGCGCGCATACCGATTTGCGGTTACTTTACTCTACCATTTTGGGTGGCTTACGTCGCGATCTTGTGAATATTCACTCGCAGCAGATACTTACGGTTGGTGACGATTTCACGAGCTCTTTTCGACTGGAAGCCTGGCAACGTTCGAGCACTCGAAGGCCGTTAAAGACGCTACCGACTCATTATTGCTCAGTGAACGGCTGTGAAAGAACGATGATCGAGCACGAAATCCACTCGGAGACTCAAATTTTGCTACCGATGACCAATTTACCAAGAACTCTGGACATGAGTCGATCTTGTATGCAGCCAGTTGAGGGAACGGAAAAGCATGGCACCTTTACTTGCGCGTGTTTGGCGACTATGTTGGATTCTGTAGTGGCTGGTAGAGGCGGTGATGCTAAGTTAGCGCTCTGTATCTTCAGTCATGATGTAAAATTTACTCAAGAACGAGAAAAGTCGGCAATCGGGAAAAGGTCGATGATACCTAGAGATTACGGAGATAGCACGGCATTCTTTAGCAATTACCAACGACAGTACTTCTTCGCATTTGCCGCAGTGGTTTCCGACGTGTATACACACGTATTTCGTGCTTGTGCGCTCGAAACTTTCGCCGCAGAGTTGTTTATGACACTGCACGAATACCTAGACGCAAGGGATGGAATAGTTGTCAGGTTTTCTAAAGAAGGAGACAGTAAACAATCAACTGATGAATCGACAACATCGGAAGCACCCTCAGCACGACCAGGATACGTGACAACGGTATTGTTTAGTCAGCAACCCAACAGAACTCCCCCAGGACGAGCTTTAAGTGGAAAAATGGAGAAGAAGGTACGACAATTCGAGGCGTCGAGCGCGCCATTGTCGATCTTCATGACGAGGAAAGCTATTCCAGCACCTCCTATCAATGTCAAACAAGACACGACAAAGGCAGGACCAAGCACAGCTGGGAACGTGAAGTCTAAAGAAAAACCAGTGAAACGTAGAGGAACGAGTTCTCTGTTCAAAGGAAAGAAATTATTTCGTTATGGGAAGAAGAAGCAGGATGAAGAAGAAAAAACCAAGGAACAGGAGCCTGTGATGAAATCTGTCCCCGAGTTGCAAGCACTCTCTCCTTCACGAGCACAGCAGCTGCATGAAAAGGTATCATTTCATGTGTTCATCCGAGCTTTAGCACGCCACGGACGCCACGATATTATCATCTTCACCGTCGAGAAACAGTCGGCTCGGGCTGCGAGTACTGTCGAAAACCTTGTTCGGCAAGTCAAAGCTCGAGCAGAGGCTTTTGCTACTCAAATGGTTTCAAGTCCTCCTCGTGGTGACGAAGAGATCAATGCCAAACGATTTTGTTCGCAATCTAAGTCGGATGATCGAGGTGGAGGCGGGTTCCTTCTTCTATCACTATTGCAAAAAGCCCGCGATAGTTTCCAGCAGATCGAAGGAGCTTTTGGAGGTGCGATGCGTCAATTCCTTACTGGAGCTCAAGCCACAGCTCGAGATACCCGATCGAATGTTGAGGATTTGGGTGCTCTTTTTGGTGAATCAACGGTCACCCCAGTAACAGCACTATTACGAGTGACACTGGTAGCTTGTGAAACTAAGCGTGACACTGCAGTAGCTTTCAACCAGACAGATTTGCTCAAGGAATACTTACGAATGCAGGCTGGCCGTAAGCTTCTTCAACTCGACCCTACTGACAATAAAGTTTGGGGAGCTGTAGGACGGGCAAGAGCACTAATTCGCAGCTTTGATGAAGCCATCCACACGTTGGAACCACGTTACGAAGATGGAGAAAAACTTATTGGGGTGAAAGCGGAGGTGAATCGAGCTTTACACTCTCTTCTTGACTTGTTACTAGCACAATCAGCCGTCGTGCGATACCTGAAGCACCTGGAAACGGAGATCACACGCGAACGAAAGCAGCTCTACGACAATCCAGCGACAACAGTGCAATGCTTTGTCCGTCAAGCTCAAGCACGAATGGAACTCAAGAAGCGACGACGAGAATTTCGAGCGGCTTTGGCAATCCAGTGTGCATTCCGTCAACATTTGGCTCGTCGTCGAGTTTTGTTTATGAAATGGACTCGAGCTGCCATCAAAGTACAACGAGCATATCGTCGCAAACGCCAACGAGCAAAAGGATCCCGACCCCGGCGATTCAGTACGCAATTGTTGTCGACCTCGCAGAATTTTGGCACCACGACACGGTCTCCTTCTGTGGTGGTTAATGTGGACGAGGCATGGCGCACAGATATGTCTAGCTTTGGTTCATTCCAGGAGTATGTAGCTAGTAAAATTGGACGCGAGCAGATTAAGAAAGAGGAAGAACTTATGTGGAAACACCGACGGGAGTTGGAGAAAGAGCGAGCTCGACTTCCTCGGGATGAAGCTCTACGAGAGGATGTCGGTGACTTGTTTGAGCTTTTGGATGATGCTGGTAGTGGCGAGTTGTCAAGAGAACGCACGGCTGCATTGATCACTCGACTGCACGTGCCGCTGAATGAAGAGGAAGTGGCTGACGTCGTCGCTATGATGGATAGCGATGGGTCCGGTGGAATCTCCATAGACGAGTTCATGCGCTGGTTTGCACACGAATTCCCACTGCTACAGAAGCGAGCCCCACGCGTCTGTGGTGTGGTGACTAAACGTGATTGGCAATGGGTCATCGAACAATCAGCTCGCTCTGCGATTCTAAAGCGATGGAGAGCGATACATACACGTGCAATGGCGACCGCACCAGGAGGAACTAATAATTAGTCCAGAAGTAGTGGCGGTGAAGAAAACGTTTGTGAGAAAGATTTTTTCGTATGTTTTTTCTAACAAAAAAAAATAGGGGGTGTCACTGATCTCCGATTTATCGAGCTCGATGTCATAATGTCTGGAGTGTGCGCGTGTGGTGTCCACCCGCAAAACCTCGGGGTCCAAACTTGCATGAAGTCCTACCATATCCCTAATCCCATCTTGAGTTGGTCTCATTGAGGTTGCTCGCACTTGAGACCGTCTCAAGTGCGAGCAACCTCCCACCGTGGTAAGACAACTACGACACTTACGGTGAAAACTCAGCAAACACAGCGCTACTGGCAAGGAAATAGTGCAGAATATCATGGCTAACTACTAATTCGACTAAAAGTCATCTACCCACGCCTGCATAACAGACCCCCTGCCGCTAGGAGCTGGAGCATTTCGGTCGCGACTTCGATCGCGATCACCGTTGGATGATCGCTCTCGATCTCTGCTTCGGTCGCGATCGTTGCTTGGCTCGCGTGTGTGCTCACGCTCAAACTTGCGGTCTCGGTCCCGATCGCGGCCGCGCTCTCGTTCACGGCGACGATCGCGATTCCGCTTTTCACCGGTTGGAGATGGAGGCGGAGATCGATTTTTGCTTCGACTACTAGACTTTCTGTTGTTTTTGGCCAGTGGTGAGGCTGCTCTTTGCTCGCTCTTTGATAAGCGGTCTGACGGTAAATAATCTGCTTTCTCTCGCTTGGATTTTGAAGATGAAGTTGTCGAACTTATCGACGAGGAAGACGAGGAACTGTGTGTTGGTCGACGGTCGTCATCGTCCGAATAATCTCGACTCTTCTTCTTTTTGTTGGCAGTCTGTCGATCCCCCCTTGGTGCAGCTACAGGAGACTGTTGTGGGCTGCAAACTGCAGCTGCAACAGCAGAAGCTTTCGCAGCGGCCGTGGCTGTAGCTGCAGCATGAGCGATTTTATGCTTCTCGTACTCGACCAGCTTCTTGCGGTAGCCTTCTAGACTCGTCACCCAGCATGCTGTACTCGCCTTGCTGTCTCCGCAAAGGAAGAAGTTGCGGGTACGACTCTCGACCTGGAAATGAGTATCGTCAAACTGCACGACTGCAGTGATATCGTCGAGGAAGATCGAACCTTCAAAACAGAGAAATGAGTTTGAAATAGTTGGAATGGATGTCCAGATTTACTATGACGTACTTCGTGGCGCACTGGTTTTATTGTCTGAGTACCCAAACTCTCGACGTCTCGGGTCCACAAAGAACCAGCGTTTGTTCCAGTTACCAGCAAGGCTTCGCGTTTTACGCTTCAGCTTCTTGAGATACCCTTCGATCTCAGGCGGAACAGGAGGTGTAGGCTGGAGTGTCAGGTCCCCCATTCGCATCATGTTGTACCGATAGAGAATGACGTCGGTCTTTGCTGTTGGCTGGCCGAATTCGAGAGTGAGCACGTACGCGGACTTGTCTAATTGTAGCGGATGTTACGAATGAAGTCTTATGCTAAAAATGCCGAGTTCATCCCGTAAGTTTTCCTACTATATTTTTCATTAACACGTAAGACTCTAATCGTTATGCATTCGAGGACATTCGCTTGCTTTGGATCCAGAGCTGTTCCGTGGCTTTGTAAAAAAAAAAAAAGAAAGAAGGTGAAAACGTGCAATGCATTTTGCACAAATACCTGTAGTCGACGAAAACTTGGAGCTTGCCTGAATCATCTGTAGCTTTTAGACCAGTGTAGAGGGAGCCTACCCGCTCGTTGCTTTCACTTTGAGCTGGTTTCGTTTCGTTTCAAAGGTGAGGTTCATTACAGTCATTTATTCTAGATAACCACCAAGACAAATGCCCTTCATCCCATGCATGCTTATCATCAGATGATGTGCTAGCTGGTTTCGTTGGTACGTTGCAAGCTCCAGGTGTGGAGGTATGGCGTAATGATGGCAGCAAAACATACTTGGAAGTGAGTATTTCTATTAGATTGAATATACTGTTCTGCATGCAGACTTTCACCACTGGAAAGCGTGCCCTCCCGCTCGCTTATGCAGTGTCGCAGTTGAAGCTGATTGATAATGCAGTTGTCGATGTTGACGCGGCTTGATAATGCAGTGTCGCTTTTGACGGAGTCATCCTAGAGGCGTTGGCAGCGCTGGTTCGGGACGTCCGTGCTCCAAACCCAATTTTCCGTGACCATCTCAACTGTAGCAGGATGCGGGAGTTGGTGATACTCATCGTAGTTGCCCTCACCAGCATCAGAGCAGCGTCGATCAATCATGACATGGTGAAGCCATTCGCACAGCCCGAACCTATCACCATCGCCGAAAAAGCTGCCGTCAAGTTCAAGCCTTCACTTGCAGTAAAGTCTGGATGCCACCCATACCCTATCGTGAACGCCGCCGGCGATACGAGTACCGGCTTGGAAGGAACGGGACCTCCTGACGGTGGATGTGAAGGTCCAGAGTTGGGGTCGCAGGTGTACAGTCGATCGACATGGTGCGAGGACAAGTGGGCCATCATGTACGCGTGGTATTTCCCTAAAGACATACAGAATAGAGGCCTCGTCAAGACGGGTGTTCGGCACGATTGGGTGAACTTGGTTGTGTGGCTCGACAATCCAGCTCTAGTTAAGCCGGCAATGTTAGCAACTTCGGCGTCTACGTATGGTAATCTGTACGTCATCAGTAAGCCACCCAAGACATCAGACGTCATCAATGGCACCACGCCGAAGCTGCGGTACGATGAGGACGGCTATGAAGCGTGGCACACTGTTTTTCAGTTCCACGAGGAAGGAGAATACCAGGATCTCATCCAGTGGAACCAACTGACGGATGCGGCCCGCGAGGCCTTGACAAACACCGACTTTGGTGTTTTTGGCCATGTGCCTTTCATTGACGCGTTCTTTGAAACCAACCTCAAGGAAGCATCGACGTACAACTTGTACAACAGACGTCATCGACATGGCGGTGCATCAATCTGGGAATAGCAATGCCTTGTTAGCAATCATGCCGAAGAAAACTCTCTTGTTGACGCCACAATAACGGCGCGGTTCCTGCTTGAGTGTGAGGCTCGTAGTAGGAAACTGAATCTTGGAAATCATTTTTTTTTACGTGTTATCACTTCGTTGTTGTGGATCTAGTGATCTAGCTAGATCATCTAGAATATCGGACGGGAACTGGTCGCCATTCTCATCGTCCAGTCCACTTTCCCTAGGAGATCTTGGCTCTGGTTCCGGAGTAAAAGGATTCGGGTCAAGGTTCGTGCTGCGTGCGCTCGAGTGTCGAGAACTTGACGATGAACTCGACCCAGTTCTAAAACTCCTTCCAGCCCCCAACGCTCCAACGCCAACACCAACACCAGGCGTATAACCCGACAGACCTAAGCGAGATCCTCTTCGCAGTCGCATTCCGATCCCCAAGCCTTCGCTTTTCATATTTCGCCAACTCCTTAGCGCTTTAAGCGACGGGCGGCGTTTGCTTAGCTTCGCAGCAGGAACATCACTCGACTCTGTCTGGGCTGATGCTGCTGAGTTCTCGGCCGCTTCTTTGGCCTCCAGTTCTGCTAGATGCTCTGCAATCCGCAAGTCCCGCTGTGAAACGCGCTCTGGTTCATCCGCTACTGTTTTTATTGAACGGCGCTTGAGAGCTCCCGGGTGCTTGGGTGGTAGTTGATCTACTAAACTCGAATCAGGCGAACGAGACGAGGTGGATGAAGAGAGGTGTCGTGCAGCTTCGTTCAGAGTATTTCGCAGTCTTGTCTCGCTCTCTCGTCGAGCTTCTGACTCTTTTCCAAGCTGCTCTTCGAGATGGTCAATCCGCTGAAGTACTTTAGTGAGCAAGCCTGTGATTTTAGTTGTAGCCATTTCTCCTCTCGACGTTGCTTCTCCAAAGCTCATGGCATGGCTGGTACCAACAGGACCTGGATTACTCGACTTTGGGAAGGCATTGGCTGTTCTTGTAGCAGCCGCTGCTGCTGGGCCAGAGCTACGCATACTAACTTCTTGAGACTGCTTCATAGCGGCTTGCAACATACTCGGGTCGTACTTGTCCATGATAAACTTCTCGATAATACTTCTATCCTCGAGATACCGTTGCGAAATACTCTCGAAAACTTCTCGTGTGAGCGTACAAAGCTCCGAAAAGACATGAGCTCGAACGTTTGCAGTTCGCTTGCAGTTCATAAGCAGAGCGATCTCTCCAAAGTAGTCACCTTGACCTAACACTTTCAGTATGATTTCCTTGGTTTTAGTAGCAACCGGAGGTAATGCTGCTTGAGATGCGTTGCTATCTCGGGGTAATTGAGATCCTTTACGATTAAGCACTGCTTGTGCAGCTTGCGAGGCTTGAGATAGGCGAGAAGGATTTCGTTGCAGCGGCGCCGGTGATAGCACTTCGACCTCCTTCGTGACTTCACAGATCCCGTTCTGAACAAAATACATGTCGTTCCCTACCTCACCTCGCACGACAATGTAGTCCCCAGGCATGAAAACCTGCAGTTCCAGCTCCATGACGAGTTCCTGGACGACTTTAGCGCTGCAATTCTGGAAAATCGGCGCTCGGTTGATCATATCCATACGAAGAAATAATTCAACTTCGCAGGCTAAATTTCGAGATAATTCCGGGATAAACGCCGTCACCGCGCCATCTAAAGTGCCGTGCCGTTCCCACATGGCCTGGTAATACGCGTTGATTCGGTTCTGTAGGTCGTACGGCAGCTTCATTCGATTCATACTCGCAAAAAGCCACTCCATCTTCTTCTGATGCGAGCTCTGGGACTCGTAGTAATTGGCAATGAGGATGGCTACATTTCCGAAAACTACAGCCATCAGCACGGCTCCGACGACCATGACGAGTACACAGAAGATATACTCGGTATCTTCGTACACAGCGATGTTTTGGCCCATAACCACGAGTAACGACTGGTAAAACGCGACAACGTACAAGTGCCGCGCATCCGTGCTCGAGTCCAAGGCGCGAGTTCGGTCCGACATGACCAGACCGTACCAGAAGCACGCGACGTAGTGATTAATGACTAAAAAGGACACCACAAGACGAACCAGTCGTAGGAGATTGGCGTGTCGTGAATACTGTAGCCATCGTCGCAATTCTGGTCGCATTTTGAACAATTTGGCCACCCGCAATAACCTCACAAGTCGTAGTAACCTCGGTACGCGTAGTGCCTTTAGAAGCCCCAATACGCTCAGGTTACTCTTGGAATTGTTGATCAGTAACAGCACGTAATCGAACGGCATACATGCCAACAAGTCAAAGAAAAACCTACAGTAAATACACACTGTTAGTTGCTAGAAAAAGTAGGGGGGGGGAACTAATACGAACGTACCATCCGCGTAAGTAGTTGGATGCTATATGCCATCGATCTGTAATGTACACCATCTCGTCAGCGTCTTCTGCGAAGGGTGTGTTGAATGCCACGGCGATATCCATGGCAAATATAACGCTCATAAGGATATCGACAACGGTAGTGTCGTTGGATCCAAAGGCCAGAGCGAATGGTAACATGATACTCTGATAAATGATGATAACCAGCGTAACCAGCTGCCATACCTTGAACAAGGAACTGTGAGGATTCACCATCAGCGGCGGGAGATTGCGCAGTTGGTGTCTTTCGTCTGCGTCCGTGTCTACCTGTCGAATTTTATATCGCGAAAGCACCTTGAGATGTCTTTCCAGGTTCGCTTTGGTCTCATCTATTAGAATGCGAGGTCCGATCTCTTCATGGCCAGCTTGAACTCGATGCAGCACTCGTCGCATTCGTAGGGCTGCAAACAGCGTCGTCACCGAATCTTCTTTTCTAGATGACGCACGATCACGTTGATGCTGAGCGGTAAAATACATTAGAAAATAAAAAAATAACGATAAATAAAACTGTGATCATACCCCTTTATCGGCAATGCTCTTCATCATTTCGGGTGTCATTGCTGTCTGCGTGATACTCAGTCGTTCGGGAGCGTAAGGAACGACTGAAACGGGTTTGGAGAACTGCGTGAGTCTGGAGATCACCGACTTGCGAGGAGCCACGCCCCGTACAACTGCAGCAAGTCTCGGTACAGCTGCAGGGCGAGCTCCGGGCGCTGGCGATGGTGACGGCGACGGGGACCCATTGCCCGAGCTCATGCGGGAGGATGCCATGGCCGCCGCCGCCACGCCCGCGAGCACATGGCCTCCCTGTCGACCCGACATGGCGCTCGCTTGCTAGAAGCTACCGCGCAGCCTCAATGTCGGAGGGGGCCTGCAAGTGCACAAGACACGACGAAGACGCTGTTTTGGGGGAAGTACAAGGCAGTGAAAACCGCCACCAGATCGCTAATTTTATAAGCTCGGTCTCCGATCGTCAACTCTCTATTTCTAGCGCCATAGCGCTGCTGCTAGTCCGACACCAAAGCAACAAAAGCGTTGGTAGATTTAGCATGATAAACGTCAACTACAGTAGCAATAGAATAACAACAGAAGCCACAGGAGAGTGGACACATCGTCGGCTTGAACGGAGTCCGGCTTCGGCACCATCAAAGCCTCCACCGCTTCGATGATGTCGGAGCCCTCCACGAGTACCCCGGTGGTGTCGACCTGAGCGAAGTCGGCTTTCCCGCAGGGCTGCTGAAAATAACATGGCAATAATAATAACGGCCATACATATCATAAATAAATGTATGTTTTTGCGATGGACCGTACAATGTCATAATGTATGTGGCGATCCTAGCTAAAAGAATAATGTATGCAAGGTGCACAGCAAAATTATGACCCCCGCAGAACCAACCATTTACTGGGGTGTGTTTTGTCTGTAGCTGTTCTCCATTTCCCAATTCACGCCCACGTTTACAAGCCCCTACTGCTCTACACCAGCCATGGCGATCACCGCCAGACCAAGGTTCACGTCAGCTCAAGTCACTGGGTTTTATTTCCAGCCGTGCCGCGATGACTTCGACGAGATAATTCTCGAGTATTTCCGATGTCGTTGCGGCACGGTTAGAAAGCAGACCCGTCGAAACGGGCGTGCTAACCTCATGCAGCACGTTAGACATGAGCATCCCAACTTTGAGGCCGAGATGCTAGAGGCCACGACATCTGAAACCGGCACGCTACTCAGCTACGTGTCGCGGTCTTCTCAAAACCTGTACGGCTGGCTCATGTGGGTTGTTACGAGCAATCTACCTCTCACTTTTTGTGAGAATAGAGCGACAAGACGGTAAGAAAAGCGACTACAATTTAACAAAGAATTATTTTTAACTGTTTATTATTGATTTTAGCTATACGACACTCGATCCGGTATGCGTCGAGACGCTGCGCGCTGCGCTTGAAGGCGTGTCTGTGGCAGTGGAGAGGTCAATTGCCTCTGAGATGCCAGACCAATTTGGGCTCATTCTAGATGGATGGACCCATATGTCTGAGCACTATCTTGGAGTCTTCGCCTGCTACGAGGTTGGTGGCAAGGTGAAGACTCCCTTAATCTGCATGGCTCCTCTGATGAATGAGGCCGATGACGATCTCTCTGCCCTCGCGCACAGAGAGTTTCTAGCGGATATGCTGCCGAGGGATTTTGGGAAACAGATTGACCAGTGTTTATTTGTCGTGGGTGATAATTGCAGCGTTAATCAGCGCTTAGCTTCGCTCATCGGCGTTCCCTTAATCGGGTGCGCTTCGCACCGACTTAATCGGGTGGTCCAACAAGATCTTCAAAGTCACGAGGCTGATCTTGCCGCAGTTCACGGGCTAATGATCAAGCTTCGGACGCTGACGCAGTCGGCTAAACTGAGGTACCCATGCTGTTATTCTGTGGTTTTATCTATAATTCCTACGAATAAGGATAATGTGTGGTGTTTTATGATAATTCGTAGGCTTAAAACAAGTCTCCGCCCGGTAATTCGGCAGGACACACGGTGGAGTTCAACGTTTGCAATGTTGCACCGTTACTTCAAGCTTCTCGAGCACCTCGATAAGGATGACGATGACGTCGCTGAGCTTCTTCCTGGTCCGGTGTGCAACCGCCGCCTGCGCAAGCTGCTGAAAGAGCTCGCCAATGTCGAATCCGTATCGAAGGCCCTTCAAGGCAGCGCTGATCTCTTAGACGTGCGCGAATGGTTCGACGGTCTCATCGCTATGAAGCCGCAGTACGCGCATTACCTTGGTAAGTTACACATTCGGCTAACTATGCTGTGAAAACTAACGATATCTATCATACAGCGCCACGAGCTGACATTGTCCACAGCCCGGACTTTGAATCGGGCTGTGTCCGTGTCTTGCGAGGCAACTCTAACCGCCTGACAAGAACGAGAAGGCAGTATTCCAGCCTTTCGCTGCAAGTGCTGCAGCCGCGCCCGAATCGGACGACGAAGAGAGCTCATCGTTCGTCGAGCGCCTTCAAAAGCGCAGGAAGCTGGCGCAACAAGAGCAGAAGTACGTGCTGATCCGTAGTATCCCTCTGACGTCGAACATCGTGGAGAGTTTTTTAGTATTGCCCGGACGACATTTGGGCAGGAACGCAACAGCCTTCAACCAGCGACGCTTGAGCAGATCCTCTTTCTCCGTCAGAACGCAAGCTACTGGGACGTAGGTACCATTGATAGTCTCCGAAGTTAACCACCATCATAAGTCATTATGTATGTGTTGAACCTTCTACATGCCATTATTTATGTAGATGATTCTGCTAGCTGCCTACCATTATTTATCTAGTGTTGTCGTTCTTGCTAACAAAACATGCCATAATCGGCAGCCCTGCTTTCCCGATCCGCTTTTTCAACGACCTGAGCGTGGTCGGAGGGATTTGCAAGCGCCTAGCTTGATTGCGCCCAGAGATAGCGGCAGGCAACTGCAGCAGGTCCCTGGCCACTTTGTCCTGGCAGTGCTTGGGTCGCCGACCGAGCTGAACGATTCCAGTCGACTTCCCTGCCAGGACATTTCGGACCGTATTAGTAGAGCAACGGTGTTTTAGAGCTATTCGGCGGATATCCGGCTGATCTTCGCAGCCCTTGCGTGTTGACAACATTTGTCGAGCGTCCGCCCTGATGTCCTCGATGACACTCTTCGTCATTATCACGGCGTCTGACAGCATCGCGACCGTAGAGGTCAACTTGGTAATGAAGAGCTGGCTGATGGTAAAAGTTCATCGTGTTTTGTGCGAGTCGCTGCTAGCTCTTAAGGTATGGTTTGCTAAATAAGTTTCCTATTGGTGCTGCTGGCGCTAAATAGCAGCCCGAGGCGATGGTTGTGCGTAGTAGATATTTCTACCGCGTATACGCTCAGTGAAGCCTGTTCACTTGAAGTACTTGGACATTGCGAACACTTCAGTCAACATCCATTTCCACAGGCTCGTCGTTATCTTCTGGAAGCTCTTCGAACCGCACAAAGTGCTCGTCCTTGCTCTCCGACGTGTCGGTTTCTGTGTGTTTGTCGTCCTCGACGAGTTCGACCCGTGGATTTGTTGACAATGGCATCGACTGGTACGGGTTAAAGACTACCATTGCGCGACAAGAAGCGTCGCTAGGGATCTCAATAGGCCGCTCAGAAGCCATGTAGGCATCGTGCCGCATTGTCTTCCATGGGAATTCTGCCTGTGCTGCTGGTGTAGCGAGCACTAGCGGTCTTTTCTTGCCTGCTTCGGGAGATGCTGGAACGATGGTTCTTGGGGTAGCAGCTTCCTCGTCCGTCATGTCTGAGTCCACGTCGTTCTTGGGTGAGTCGGTTGGTGACGAGACCCGCATCCGTTTAATACCGTCCATTACCGCCACTGCGTTCATGTCGCCGCCACGGATGCCTTTGTGCTTCTTCGTCGCTATCACTGTCTTAGTCGCGAGACCGCTTCAACGGAGTGCCCATGATACCCCGGGCTCGTCCAAAGCTGCGTTGACGCAACGCGTTCTACGCTCGCGCTCAAAGAGATAACCGGCCTGGCTGTTGACGCCGCACACACGGGTTCTGCTTGTTGCTCGCATGTAGACAATTAAGTTATGCCGACCAGTTCCCAGGAACCCTAATAACTTAGTGCTTAAAACTCGTCTGAATGTCATCCCAGCCTATGGGTTATTTGGGTTATTAGGAACCCAACTCAAAATAGTCCAATTTTGGGTCGTAACAATATATGCTTGGATGGCATTCAGACGAAAAAAACCATTAAATTTTTAATGGCTTTTTTTCGTCTGAATGCCATCCCAGCCAATCTAGATCTCTCGAAATATTTTTCCCTTCCCATTTAAAATGTGTTTTGGCTGGACGGCCCATAAAGCACTTTTCCTGAAAAAAAAGCTCTTGCTCATAGCTTGTGGCCCACAATAATAAAAAAGATCAAAAGTGGTCCAAAACCAACGTTTCTTATACAAAGTACGTATTATTCAAAAAGCCATTTTATGCCCCAACTTGCAGTGCCCAAATTGCTGAATGTTTTTTTTAAATAGTACCCATTCTGCAATCGACGTAACATGGCTGCATTGCCCTTTTTTCCCTTATCGTTCTCATTGGCTAAAATTCTTTTGCCCTTGTTTCTATCCCCTTATTAGAAACGTGAATCCATTTTACGATGGCGACGGACCTGAGTGCAAGCGCCATCGGGGGCGTGAGCGCAGGCACGGGCGACTCCACTGTGGGGGCGTCTGGCGGGCCTGAGAATGCGTATGAGAAGCTCTCGCGAGAGGTGCATCAGATGCAGATCACGGGCGCCATCCACACAGACTGGCTGGAGAACCCCAAGGGATTTCTGCTTAAACCGGACTTCAAGCGTAAGGCGCAGCACGTTGGAGCTGGCGGCAAGAAACTCAACAGCTCGAGACTCTTGAGGCTTCACCTACCGGGTAATACATACAGAGTCAGATGGTTCGTGCTGGACGGGATGATCTTACGATACTTCAAGACGAGCACGGAGGAGCAGGAACTGGGTGCGATCCACTTGACGTCGGTGAATGCTGTACTCCCCTCCAGTGTCGCAGACGCTCCAGAACACGCTCTAGATCTGGTACGTTCTTCAATTTTTTAAGAAGATTCTCGTTTTTAGAAATGACTTCGTTTCTAAAAGCGGAAACAATTATTGTTCGAGACAATTAATTTAATTGTAATTGTATTTAGGTGTGTGCGGATCGGATTTATACCGTAGCAGGAAATGATCGAGAGGATATGGTGCGCTGGGCTACAGTGCTGACATTAGTGCTGCGAGGAGAATATAAACCCAAGTTGATGTTGAGACCAGAATCCTCAATTATTCGAGGCAGTTCGGTGATTCCGAGACCCAGTGCAGTGGCCAGGAAGACAGCTATGACACAGGCGTCAAGGTTTACGGATGCCAACGGCATGCGCATGACAGGCACGTTGTTGGGAGATGGAGACTCGAAGAGCCAGGGAGACGACGACGTCAAGGAGAAGATCATCACGGTCACATTCGACCAACCTGGTCCGTTGAATTTGATTCTAAGAGGGACAGTGGACGACGAGGTGATGGTATGTGGGTTTCAGGACGGAACAGGACCCGGTGGAGAGCTCGGTCCTGCAGAAACTTCGAGTGTTATTCGAGTGGGGGATCTGTTGATTTCGATCAACAACCACTACTTTACGAACATTGAGTTCCAACAAGCGGTGGACTTGATTCGAGCTGCTGGACGACCGCTTACGCTGCGGTTCTCTCGAATTGACTTCAACACGTCGCCACCTACAGACACCAGTCGTGTTGCAGAAGGCTGGGTGCTATCCAAGGAGCCATCGGCTCATAGATACCGTATCCGTATGTTGCAGCTGCAAGGTGACAAGTTGAAGCTGTACAAGCCCAGTATGCAGGGCGGAAGGGTAGACGAACCGTGTCTGGTTATCCGTATGGAACAAGTGACTGACATCCGACCTACTAATGATACGCGTGAGGTCGTGACGGCGTTTACTCAGTGTCATCCGAAGCAATGGGGTGTCACACTTGAAGGATCACAGAGTATTTTCACGTTTTACACGAAGAACCGTGAAGACATGATGCAGTGGGTGGATTTACTGAAGAACTCGCCGTTGTTTTCACCCAAGGCTACGAGGTTGTCCATCCCAGTGCATCCAGTGGCTGTTGTGGAGTTCGACCCAGTACTGGAGCCCAAGGTGGTTCTGCAAGATGATGTGGGCAAGCTGGGCGACTTGCTGTCAACGTTCTCGTGCCACTACTTCCTTCTGCTGGAAGACGGCAAGATGATGTACTACGTTAATGCAGAGTCCGCCTCTACGCGTACCCGTCCGATCGGCACAATACGCTGCGATAACATCGTCAGCATCGTGCCAAGTCAGGTCACTGACGACGCGATGCCAGGGGATGACTCGAACTCAGAAACTTCGTCTTTTGGAGGAATCACAGAGGAAATGATGCCGTGGCGACTGGAGTTGGGGATTCTGGTCCAAGGTTCGACGCAGAAGTACCGTCGTCCCTTCATCATGTGCTTCGCTACTCAGGAGAAGATGATGAAGTGGGGGATTGCTATCGGTAAGGAGGCCAAGCGTCTGACTGGACAGGAGTACGATCTGTCGTCTATCAGTCGCCGTGCTTCGCGTAGCAACAGCCAAACATACGCACCTCGTCATTCCGAGACGCCAATGACGCGACCGACTATTTCGCGACTGATTTCGAACCCAGCCAAGTACGTCGACCCCAATGTACAAGAGTCGTCGCGACTGTATCGTAGTCTGAAGGATGTGACGCTGAAGTCGGCCACGCGTGGATGGTTCTTTGTCAAGAAGCCGCGAAGTGCGGGACTGAGTGCGTACCACCCGCGGTTCCTCGTTCTTATCGACAACCAACTGATGTTTTTCAAGTATGAAGTGCTCGAGGAAGAAAGCCTGCACTCGTATGCAAGTATGCTGAATCTCCGCAACGTTAAGGACGTCAGAGAAGCCGAGTCCGGTTTCCAGGAGAACCTCGACTTTACGATTCAACTCACCACTGCCGACGACATCGTCTGGATGGTAAGATGCAGCGCTATCACTCTGGATTATGATAAAAAAAAAAATACTGACACTAATGTCTGTTTGTTCGTATTAGTTGGTGGCGGAGAGCTATGCTCAGAAGGAAGCGTGGCTGTCAGCATTAATCTGGCTATCAGACTACTTCTACCGACCAGGTGACAGCAGCGACGACATCACGACTGCCATCAATGACGTAAAGCGAATTGCACTGAACACTGCAGGTATTATGACGTCTATCCCTGAGTCCGAAGGATCGAACAGCATTACCAGCCTAGATGTGGATCCGAAGGAAGCAGACCGTCTTGCAGCGGCGGGTATTGCCAAGGAGAGACTGTCTACCACAGGTCTTGGTGCTATGCTGACTGACGATTTCACGGGAATTGGCGGAGAAATCCAGATCGCTGGCAGAAGAGTGTTTGCTGCGATCTCCAGTGGCGTGTTCCGGTACTACGATTCACAGAGCGATTATGAGAGTGAATGGGGTGATGCAATCGACGCTATATCCCTGAAAGAGATCGAGGAAGTGCATTCGGACGGGTTGGATTTGGGCAGCTTTGTGGTTAAAGTGAAAGGTGAGAAGGAGGTGCGATTGGTCGCTGAGAGCGCGAAGCTGGCCAAGCGTTGGATGCTCGTCATGTGCTGTTGTGGCGACCTGGTGCTTAAGAAGGCCCCGCACGCTGACTACTGGGCCAGTACGAAGCCCAAAGAGGCGTGGATCTGGAAGTTAGACCGGTTGTACCAGGTGTTCCGTCGTCGATACTTCTCTCTACGCAACCACCAGCTCATCTTCTACACAGAACAAGGAGGTCGTATGCTCGGTATGATCTCGTTGCCGTGCATCTTCCACCTTCAGATGTCTAAAGTGTGGACACGCAGTAAGGACGAGGCAGATTTCTATCAATTGGAAGTGAGTTTCGCAGTCCCCACAGCCGCTGAAGAGAGCTCACGTACAGACCAGATCGGAGATTTCTACGCTTTCCTCTTGGCTTTCGATACGGAAGACCAGCTCAAGGAATGGGCCAACGCTATTTACGACTGCTGCACGAACTCAATGTCGTTAAAGGGCAATGCAACGCTGTCGCCTCTCGGTGACATCCAGGTGCTGCCGAAGGAGCTGCTCAAGACCTCGACGTTTGATCACAGCGACGACGGATTCTTCAAGACTTCTGGACTGCCCATTGGACCCATGATGCCGTCAAAGCGACCTGTTCCTGATGCCGCAGTGTCCGCCAGTGAGTTCAGTTCGAGTGGATGGCTTTACTACCGTACATCCAAGGAAGAGCGGATCCGGCTGCGTTACTTTATGCAGTGGGGCTACGAATTGTCCATCTACAAGCACGAAGTGCTGGCTGATGAGGCGACTGCTATTCGCTACGGTGTGATTGACTGCCGTGCGCTTGTGGACGTGCGTTTCGCGTACATTAACTCGCCAGAAAACGCTGTCGAGCTGATCCTTGGATCGGAAACCAGCGTAATTATCATCCCTCGCACGGATCAAGAAGCTGTCATGTGGCGTAATTCTCTACTTGATGTAAAGCGTGCTTATGGACAGTTGGAGTCTGGTAAGAACAAGGAGGACACGTTCGGTACTGGCGTGTTCATCAGTCGTGGCAGCACGTTCTCCACGCACAAGGACAATGAAGAATTGCTGCGTCTGCAGATCGAATCCGCCGTCATTTACTCGTCGAATCTGCAGGACTGGGACGGCCGCAACTGGATCCCCAAGTATTTCGTGCTAACCAGTTCGCGCGTGCTCATGATGTCGCTGGCGCTGCATCTTTACGACGAGGAGCCCGATATCTTGGGCTCATTTGCCACCAAGGACATCGTGGAGGTTCGTGCTTGCAATGAAAAGGAAGAAGTCGAGACCGGCAACTGCAAGTCCGCTTGTGTCATTACTCTTCGACCACAGTCCAGTGGCTCGAGCGATGCGATTCAAACAGTTCCTGACCGCATGATCATCAAATGCGACTCCATTGGTACGTATATCACCGTTAACAGTTTGTTAGCAGTCTAACTAACTGTAGTGTTTTGTATTAGATCACTGCTTGGAATGGATGCGTCTGCTGTGTAGCAGTAATGGCAAGCTCGAGCTCAAGAAGAACGCTGCGACGGGCTACTGGGGCAGTGTGAACCGCATTGCGTCGCTGTCTCGTCACCAGAGCTTCCTCGCCACGGCACCGCTGTCTGCAGCCATCGCTGCTGCCAACTCGGGCTCTGCCGCATCTGCGTCTGGAGGCGAACGCACGCGAAGAATGACTCGCCAGGACGCGGCAAGAAAGTACGTTCGACTTGTGTACTTGCTTTCATGTGGTCCTTGTTTTATTTAATGTTGCTTCTTTATAGGCGTACGTCGGAGCTGATCATGAACCGCAAGAGCATGATGGGGATGTGAAGCAAGCGAGTAAATCTTCATGTATCTGTGTCAGCCACAATTCATTTACACGCTTCCCTTTCGACTCTTAACTTGGTCCAGCAGGTGCAGACCTCTATGACTCGTTTCTTTCTACTTAGTCGCTTAGAAGTCAGCGCTCTCTGCTGATGGATCCGCTGGTCCGTCGTGTCCGCCGCTCGGCAAGTAGAAGCTGGACGCTCGAGACTCTAGATGGGACTCTGACCGTGGAGAAACTCGAGCTACAGGTGCTGACCCCGTTCTGCCTAAAGGAGATCTTCGTCCGCCGTTGTCTTGTGATGTGGACGATGACGAAGATGGAACCGGGTGCCGGTGGTTAGCACCAACAACGATGGGCTTGTAGTCGAGACCAGAGTCACTACTGCCCCAGGATGTCCAGCTATTGCCGCGACGAGCTGCATGTTTGATCTCCTTGATGTCAGCAGCCGTGAATTGCAGCAACGTCGAGAGAACTGGCACCAATCGCGTCTGCTGCGAAGAACCAGGACGGAACGACATGTACTGCACCACCACATTCTTCAAGTACTCCATGTTGACGCCATCACGTCGCTGGTTCTGCAGCATCGCCGTCAGCTCCTCAGCATGACGACGCTTGTCTTCTCGCAGCTCCTGGATCTCGCGCTGCGCTTCTTCGAGTTGCTGGGACAACGTCTGCATCTGTGCTGCCTGTTCTCGCTGCTCCACCTCTCTCTTCGCTTGTAACTGGGCGAATTCAAGGATCTTACGGTTGTCTGCGCCACCGGAGCGAACATCCTCCTCCAACTCATGTAGACGCGCACTCAAGCGAGCAATATCCTTCTCCTTTTCCAGCACCGCCTGCAATGCCAGCTTCGACTTGTGTTTGCTTTCGGTTTCGAGACGATCGAGTTCGCGTTTAAAGGTCTGTTTCTCGTTCTCCACAGCAGCCTCTAGTGCCAGCTTCGCTTCTCCACGTTCATACTGGAACTTCTCTTCTTGCTTCAGCATCTCGCGCTGGACGTCTTCAAGCTCCTGTTTAGCTTGGTTTTCGCTCTGTTTCATGCACTGGACGTCGGCCTTAGCAGCTTGGACTTGTGTCTCCATCTCCTGTTGCGCAGCCTTACTATTCGCAGCGTCACGCAGAGCACCTTCAATAAGCGCCACCTGCTCAGCCAGCTTACCAGCCATACTCATGTTCTCTGTCTGCAGTCGCGTGGCCAGTGCCATGCGATCCGATAGCGACTTCTTCGTCTCCGCTAGATCCACACTCAAGTTGTCCACTTGCAGCGTTTTATCGCTCAAAGACGTCTCCAGCTGCTCTTGGTGCTTGCGTAGAGTATCTAGCTCCCGTTCCAGCGTCTTGCAGCGAGCTTGCCGTTCATCTTTCTCACGAGACAGTTCTTTCTTCTCGGTGATTAGTGTACGTCGCTCAGCGTGCACACGCTCCAGCTCACTTTCTTTTTCTTTACGCAACATCTCGAAGTTCTCGTGATGTTTTTCGCGCATTTCGTCCAGTTGTTTCTTCAATTCAGTGGCCTGTTTCTCGCTCTGGATGTATCGACGCTCGTTCTCTTCAGCTTTCGTGGCGTGCGCTTCAAGACCTTCAGCAGCCATTGCCAGATCTTCACGCATACTGCTCACCTGCTTCTGCAACTCCATGAGTTCGGAGGTCATGGATTTCTGAGAGGCAGACATCTTTGTAACTTGCTTCTCCTTCTCGCGTAGTTCCGCTTCCAGCGCCTCTGTCTTGGTATTCGCTGCGTCACTGTCTGTGATGAGATTCTCGAGCTTGGATGTCCAGTACGCACGTTCCTCTACCAGCTGTTTCTCCATTGACGCCTTGGCTTCACGTGCTTGTTCTTGCTGCTCTTCAAGCTCACGCTTGGCTTCACTTAGAGCAGTAATTTCTTTCTCTGAAGCGGTTTGCTTTAGCTCAAACTGAGCAACCTGGTCGGCCAGACGGCTTGTGTCTTCCTTAAGCGCTTCCACCAGCGACTGCGTGGCTTCGCTCTCACCCTTCGTCTTGGATAACCGGTCCTCAGCTGCGTGAAGTTTCTTCTGTAGCGACTGTATCTCGTGCACATGCTCTGCTGATTCGAGCTTCACGCGATCCAGCTCTTGCATCAACGCTGCATTTGCTTCATTCTCCGTCGATGTCACCATCTGTGCCTTTTGTACTTGTTCCTTCAGCGACGCGAGTTCTTGTTGAACTGCTTCACTATCGCTGTTCTTGGTAGCTAGCAGACTTTGCAAGCGGTCGACCTCGGCACGCAGAGAACCCACCACTTCATCAGCAGCTTCTGTCTGAGATTCAGAAGAAGCAGAAGCTACTGCCTGTTTCAATGCCTCGATTTCATCCTGAAGACGTGAGTTTTCAGTTTTTGCGGCCTCTAGCTCTGAGCTTTGAGCCTCCAGTGCTGCTGCCACCTTCTCCTTCACCGCGTCTTCAGAAGTCTCCGATCGGGAAGGAGTTTCCTGCTGCAGCGTCTCGATTTGCTTCTGGAGACGCACATTCTCGGCCTTTGCTGCCTCTAGTTCTGCTAGCTGAGCTTCCATTGCAACCACTTTCTCCTTCACTTCAGTCTCAGAAGAAGCTTCCTGAAACGTTTGGACTTGCTCTTGCAGACGCGCATTGTCAGCCTTCGCCTGCTCCAGCTCTACTTGCAGCGCTTCTAACGCAGCCTCTATCTCTTCCTTCACTTCGTCATCAGAAGCACCACTCGGAGCAGGAGCAGCTTGCAACGCTTGGAGTTGCTCCTGGAGACGTGCGCTGTCCGCCTTCGCTGCTTCCAATTCAACTCGTTGAGCTTCAAGAGCCGCCTCCATCTTCTCCTTATCTTCGTTCTCCCTCTCCGACGCAGCAGCTTCAGCTTGTTGCAGGCGCCCAACCAGTTCCTTCTTCTCCTGCTCCATCTTAGCAATAGACTCTGCTGCCTGTTTCTGCTCATTTTCTCTCTCATCCAACTGCCCCGACATTTCCCTGATCTTCTTCTCCAGTTCTCCCTTCAGCTCCATCAGTCTCTGCAGTTCCTCCTGTTCTTCATCTCTACTTGTCATCTTCTCCTTCTTCATCTCCTCCAGTTTACTCTCCAACGTTTTCTTCTCTTCTTCTAGCACTCTCCTGGCTTCTTGATACTGTTCATCTCTCTCCAGAAGCTTCTTCTCGAGCTCCTGGGTCTGTAGAGCACCCTGTCTCAGCTGCTCTCTCATCCTTTCTACTTGCTGCATGGCCTCGTCCACCTGTGCGTCCTCAAAGGGAACGCTTTTATGCTCTCCTCCCAATAGATCTATCTCCTCGTACTTCCCAGGCGTCTTCTCGGTCGCAGTAGGGGACAGATCCAGCAAGTTGACGCTCTCCACGGGCGCAGGCTTGCTCTCCTCTTTCTGCTTCAGTTCTGACAATATACGGTACTTCTCCTTTAGTGCTTCAATGTCAATAGACCCTCCGGGGGCACTATTTTCCTCCGTCTTGACGCATGCAGCCACATCCAATCCCAGTTCGTGCTCCAGGAAGCTCCGTAAGGCCTGTATATCGGCGTCGCTTGTGGCCGCAGCTGCTAGTTTACTCTGATTCTTCTGATACTGAGCCTTCATGAGCTTGTTCTGTCGCGTGAGCTTCATACTGAGTGCCAGAAGCTCCTCGTACGTCATCCGATTGGTATTAGGACCCCCTCCCTCAGCAGTGGGGGGAGGAGAAGCGGAAGAGGCCTCGCCATTCTCAAGCGAAGCATTAGCGGCTGCGGTGCGGAGGAAGCTCAACCCCTTGGACAAACCTCCGCGCCCGAGCTCGCGCATCTGCTCGAGCTTCTCCTTCTTCTTGAGCATCGTGCCAGGTGGAATGCGGGGAGTTATGGGATTATGTACGAGTGGGGTGGTGGATGCATTGTATTAAGTACGAATGGCTACTTTTTCAATATGGCTACGGTTTTCTTGGATTGACACCTTGACAGAGATTCATTGCTGCTCGATGAGAATCTCAAGGAAGTGGTTGCACTTTTGCGCAGCGATCACTTGGCTGTGGTGTACTATGGCAATTGCCTGAGGAAGTTGCTGTTCTTATGGAATGTAGCGACATTATTAGGCTGCAGCGACCAGCTTGGATCGAGGCTGTTCGAATTTGGTGCGGGATCTTGTAGCTTTTGGGTACGCGTAGCCTGGCGTCCGAACGGTGGACTTCACCAACTTGTTTATCTCTTGGCAGGTGGATGAATCGCTTGATTCTCCAACAGGGTAGAAGCTACCAAACAAGCTGCTTACATAGGATATGTAGTGCTGTTTGCCGGGCGAAGGTGCTCGTCATGGTGATGTAAATTCCCTGCGCCAATACACTGATTACACGTAGCACCACGCATTCAAGCTAACAAGAAAACTCTTCGAAGTGGGCTGCTTTCTTTCCACTCTTGACGTTTAGTCGTCCAAGCGATTAGACGCAGAACGAAGGATGGCAAGGCATTATTCTAGGAATATACGATGCATTCAACATCGCCACCGAAATATCGACGACGACGGCAGGTAGCGACAACAAGCAAATCAGTGATGACTGCTGATACACCAGCGTTATTAAATTAATCATACGCAAGGTGCTGTTCGTATCAGCTCCAATTGAGCTGCTCAATCGCTTCGCTTCTCTTGCTTCGCTCCGCTTATTCTCCGAGACGCCACCACAGCATAAAATGCCGAGAATTCAACGTTCTCTACTATAACGTGAGAACACTATCCAAATTCATCGACATCCAACATCAAGACACCACAGAGTTAATCACTTTTCCACGTGGTTACGGCGATCTACCGTCGAGACGTGTGGATTGAAGCTAAACGTAACAGCGCATGGACGTGTGCGTCTGCAGCAGAAATTGATGACCGCCACAAATGTCTCTGCGGGAGGCGAGGCCACCCTCTTTGCTTTACGAAACTTGTTGTATTCTGTTGACTTGTATTGCACCCACCAACGTCCAGCGAAGACAATTTCCGGCTCTCGTTGAAGCGGGAACCCCGGCAATTTTCGTAGGCGAATCGCCTCGACTCGAGGCTTGAGCCCCGCGACTCGATGCTCGAGGTTGATTTGCATGCGTCTTCAACATTGCGCCAGCTGTTTCCCTTGCGACGAGCGTACCCACTTCACCGAAACTTAAACGAGAAGAAGATACCACACATTCAGCCACCCCGGTAGTTCACAGTGCAACTAAGTACGAAGTTTGGACGTCACGGAAGTCATTTTGTTACCGCCAGTACCCGACAAAGTATCCGAAGAAAGCTCCCTCCATCAAGTGAGCAAGCAAGTGAAAGGCCACGTACCGAGCGCAGCCATCCTTGCCAACACACCGTCGGAACTTTCTCTTCAGGCGACACCTTCACCTTGAGCCCGTAACAAATACTCATCGCTCAGTCCGACAGTCGTGTCCGCTCACTCTGCAATTTGACACCACGGTGGACACGTCTCCAAGCACCCCACTCTCCAACATCGGTCTCTAGTACCCTCACTCTACCGCCACGATGGCCATCTCCGACCAAGTCCGCAGTCAGCTGTTCCAGTCGCCCCAAAGCTCCAGCGCTGACAACAAGATGCAGGCAATTCGCATCCCCACGACACGGGGCGGCGCCACTCGCGGTGGCCTCGTGCCTCGCTCTCCCGGCTCCGGCCGTGGTCTATGGACACCTGAAGAGCATCTACGCTTCCTCGAGGCACTGGACAAGTTCCCATCAGGCCCGTGGAAATGTATCGCCGAGTACGTAGGCAACAAAACAGCGAGGCAGGCCATGACCCACGGCCAGAAATATCGCCAGAAGATCGCGCGCCGCCGTCGCGGACTCAAGAAGATCGTGCGGGATCTTCAGTTCGCAGCCGTCGAAGTGCAAGACGACGGTCATGACGCAGCCGAAGCAGAGGAAGAAGAGGTCGATGCGAGACTGAGCGTTGAGTCTATCCCCATGGCGCTGTCCGATCAGGACTTTGCCACATTTGTCGCCAGTCTGGACCTCGCGGAGGAACTACAACTCGACGCTCTGAATGCGTCGCCACTGGTCGTGCCCAACGCACCAACACACGACCGCGACATACCCAGTTTTTCACTGGAAAACGATGCTCCGACACCCCCGATGTCCGAGACAAGCGACTGCGGTCTCCCTCTGACGACGACACAGCAAGACGTGCACCATTGGGTCGTCATGGACCGCGCAGATGCGTCCTCGGAGGAATTCTCGGCTGTGCTGGCGGAGGCCTTCCAATCTGGAAGCGAGGAAGCCGAAACGTATGCGTTTGCGAAGCCATTGCCGCTACCGGAGCAACTGCTGGACGAGTACGTTCAGGAGCAGCAGAACCTCGAGCCGCTGGCTGCAATGGATCCGGAGCTCGAGGGACTGGAAAGCTTCGAGTTTGACACATTTGAGTTGCGGTAGCGGCAGTCGAAGCCTCCATAACGACGCACTCGACGAGGAGTGCACGTATTTTATTGTTTGAATTATACCACGACGTAAGTTTAGCTCGTACACAAGATCGAAAAGCGATAAACCCCAACAAACAATGCACATTCGTTCGCTTTAGCGAAAGAAAAAAAGGTGATATTGGCAAGATCGTCTTGTAGAACTGAATGTGTAGTATGCTTCAAGCTGGAACACCACACACGAGCGCGTTATGAAGACATGATAACACTGGGAACACGGGGGGATGAGTATTGTGTCGGATGGGTTGAAATAGACACTTTATTATTTCTATGCAAACAGCGAGGATCTTGTCGCTATACATAAACTCAATCTCGCGGCTCAGTTCGGCGTATGAGGGTGAAAAGCGTTGATACCGTCTTGCGCCAGCTCTGCATAATTCGCTCCCATGGTTCGCATTTCGACACGGGCAGTGTCCAGTTTAAAGTCGTCTCCAATGAAGATGGCAGGGTGCTTTTCTCGGGTGTGTGCAATGACGACGGGCTACTGACGTCGGGTGAGATCCATTCTATCGAGACAGACCGGCGGATTGCAGTGGTCGATTTTCTGCAGAAACCACATGACCACTTCAAAGAACGAGTCCGCCTATGAGTTTCTTGCGGAGGTTAAGTTGTTGTATGCCGATTTTTACCGCGTTTTGCGAGAATTCAGAGCCGATGTTCGCAAAATGTTCAGGTGTTGGAGCGAACCACGATACGCAGAAAGAGTTCGGAGCGGGAAAGCTGGTTATATTCATTGAAATTGAAGCCTGGGAAGTATCGTCGGAGAGGTAAAACTAACAAACGAGTTTTAGGCTTGTTGAAATCGGAAAAAGCTTAATTCTGAGTAGATTTGGCCGAATCGTGAGTGGCTACATCACAAAAGCGGGATTCTGAGGGGGTGTTGGTACCAAGTTTAGTCGCCGGGATATCTTATAAGCCAGAAAATCGAGTACACAGTAGTGGAAATATGAATGAACTACTAAGACGGGATGTTTTCGAGTTGTTAGTGGGCAACCAATCTGCTTTTGCACATCAATTTGCGAGCTCCCCTGTTTAGAAGATGGATCGACTTGTTTTCGTGAGCACACGCATTTAGTGATTCGATATTTGCGTTGGGCGATCTCTGGGAGCTAAGAGTTGAAGTTGCTGTTTAGTTGAAGCGTTGAACTCAAACAAGTTGTCAGCTACTGCCAATCCACTTAGAATTCATCTTCTTGGCACTCAGGATTAATCCGCACCCGTTGATATCTAGCGAGATAATACCGTAATAGTACTAGCTTTTTTTTTTCATTTTCCTGGTACTATTCAACTTTTTCTAATCCAGATAGCGCTTTATTCTGTCGAGAAGTACGGTACTTTCAATCTGCTTTACATATAATTGGGTCACGTAGTTGAAATTTAATCTCACCTGGAAGAAATCAATTACTGGTAATCCGTCGTGTACATTCGTCGTACGTTCATCATTTTAAACTGCACGACTTGTAAGCCCAAAAGAACTGTTAAACTTCCATGACACACAGATATCTTGGAAAGATGATGCCTGGTATCACACCCTTGGTTTTCTTGTTGTAATTATTGTTTTTGCCTTGCTAGCCGCTGCGCAGCAAGCGTGGTTCAGCTAACGATTGGACTGCCCATTAATCAGTGATTAAAAATTTGTTATACCCAAGACTCGCGATCTTCAGTGCGATTGCACGCAGCGAAAACCTCACACCAGCGCTCACGGGGTCGCGAACATCGCACCTTCTCCACGCCGTGTGCCATCCAGACAGGTACGTCGCGTTTTAGCGAGAACGTAGGTCGCGCCAGCACCGCGGCGCCATCGTGACTAAGCGCAGTAATCTTCTCAGAAGTCATCGCTTCACCCCAAACGCGGAGATCGTCCACTACACCTTGAAATCCATACCATCCACTGTACGAGTCATCGCTGATGAAGCCTGTCCCAACCTGAGCGTAATAGTAGGGAAAACTCTCGAGCTGCTGCTCCTGGTCAAGCTGAACGTTCACCAATTCGCCATCTAGGTATATCTTTTGAGCTCGCTGCTCAAACACAAGAGCTACGTGATACCATCGCCTGATCTCCAGTTTTATTGCCACGCAAGGCTTCTCAGCCGTCACGGAACAGTACAAGTTCCTCTCGGCATCCACGTGAAGAATCTGAAAGTAGAAGTCCGGCCATCGACCACCTCCTTCGCGACACTTTTCACTCTGTAGACCTAACAAGGCACCGCCGTATCGAACGTCCTGCGCAACCGATGACAAGCTGAACCATGCATCTAAAGTGAAACTCGGACTAGCGTCCTCCTCTCGAGCGTACAATCCGAAGAGCGTGTCTGTGGACCAGAACACTGGCGCATAGCTCTGCGGGGGTTTCTTGGACTGCAGCCCAACGGGTTGTCCTCCAAATCGGAGCGAGCTCTCGAGCGCGTAGTGTCGTTTACTGTCGGCACTCAGATGTATCAACTCCAAGGCGGACTCGCGCATTTCAGTCGATCCACGTTGGTAATGAACATGTGACAGTCGAGCGACGTAGTGCTCTGCGCGTGAAAGGACATGAAGCAAGTGGCGCTCAACGTGCGAGAGCCGCAGAACCTCGAATCCCAGGAGCAAGCGAGCAATGATAATGAGCACCTCGTCAGGCAGCAATCTCCACGACACCGCAGCCATCCCAAGAGGTACACGCAGGATTTGCTCAAATTTGTTTTGACAAGGCGGCTGGTTTACGGGAATGGCTGTCAACGAAGATACGGTTTTGAGTGAGTCATACATTTGAACTCGTAGGAGACACTGGAGGACGATGAATGCCATACATGTAAATTAATCGACGCGAAAGCTACGTTTAAGAGCAGTTTAACTGGTGCAGTTAGCATCAACAAACTTCTCCTCCTTTCTCCTCCGCTTTTCCTACTTTCTTCTCCGCTAGGAGAGAGAGAATCTGCAATTGATCACGAACGATTTTTGTAGGTTGAACTAGAAGAAACAACTTCAATTGTAGGAATTGATCCTACCACAAGAGGCTGTTGGCTTTAGGCTGGAAGGTCAGGCTGGCACTCTTGTCGGCACGAACAACCGCCACCAGTGGTAATACTTCTACTAAGTAATCTACGTGATATTTACCGAGAAGGACGCGTTTTTTTTTGCGCGTTAAAAAAACACTCGTCGGTACGCATGCTGATTGGCCAGGGTGGCATTCAGACGAAAAAAACCATTAAAATTTTAATGGGTTTTTTTCGTCTGAATGCCATCCCGGCCAATCATCAACGACCCTAAGTTCCAAAATCAATTATATTAATAATAGTTCACAGATTTTTTAAATTTCAAACTCAACCACTATTTTATGTTAATACAGCGGTTGAGTATGAAAATTTAAAATAATACTTGAGTTTGATTTTTAATATTATTTCTAAAAACAGATGGGAAATAATTCATTAAAAATAAATAAAGCTAACAGCAATGCAAGTGGAATGGACAATATTAATATACTGTCCAATTGGCAAGTTGCTCTATTTGCCACGATGGCGTTCTTGTCGGGTTATCTGCAATTTCAGGGTTGACCGCTCAAAGGGGTCGAAATCCAATGCCGTCAGAATAACTGTCAGCTCACTTACAATGCACATATTGATGATTCACAGCACGATCAATGGATGTGGATTGAGCGACAGTCGACTCGTGGTTGATGCTCAGTGCCGCTAAAGCACAACCACAGGTCGGAGGCAAGCACATGTAAGCACCAAACGCAATGCATGCATTCGCACGGTTGCTTTCATGGCATCGAAAAGCTTTTGTAATGTCGCGAAAGGGAGCCCCATCTGAAAATGGCTACACTTTTTCAGGAGTTGCAAAGTGTTGACTCAGCGCACCTGGATCCACCAAAATCAAGCAAAACTTCAGTGGAAACTTTCGACGGACGTTTCACCCGAATAAGATATTTGTTTTGGCTCAGCTTGACGTAACTGGTAAATGACGCGAGCTCAGCAGAACCTAGGCAGACCTCGCTGGACGTGAAAAGGGGTATAAGCAGACAAATGGCCGGTTTGGGCCGTATATTTCTCAATACTTGCTGTACAAATATCGTATTTCACTTTCCGTGCTGGTGGTGTAGGCGTCAATTTGTTGCGAGAGAGCGGTCTATCTGATTAGGAACGCGTAATATGAGATGCTTGGAAGCACAGAGTCTGTCTCTGTGGGCGGCTGACGTGTTTGAGCACAAGGATAACGCTACGTGGCCGCCGCTGGAGTTGGACCACCAGTGAGGCCGGCTTTCTCGTTGATGCCGCTTATGAATACTACCCTGCACATGGAAGGTATAATACATGTTCGTTTGGTCGAGCGAGTCGGTTTGTCCGAGATTCCTACCGCTCGCTCTCCAGGCAAAAAAGTCGTTTACAAACACAGACACCGCGCAAATCTTGGTTCATATCATGCGGCGTGCCGCAATGGTGGCAATGGTGGAGGCGCTTGCATTGCAAGTTGCAAGGCTGTACGATACCTATACTGTACTCGTTTTTTGCGTGGCATTCTCGCCCGATCGACACGTGTACATACACATGTACACAGGACCAGGGCGCCAGCGGAAGTCTGACCCTAAAGCACTGGATCATCTAGCGTACCGGTGGCATAAAGGTAGGGCAAGTGAACACGAATCGATACTGTGCAGGCATGTCCGCATGCTTGTCCACTTGCCTGCTCTAGCGAAAACTAAAGCTTGTTAAAGCCGGAATGATCGTGAAAATTTGGTGCAAAACGCACGAATGCAGCACTGCAAACTGAGACCGATACCATAGTGGCCCCCCGACATTCCACTCGACAACCAATGCGGCCAGATTTAATCGATTACTCTAGCGCCGGTCTCTCTCCACGAGCCAGCGCACTCGGCAAGCTCAGGTTTCCACGTTGTGTGGATTTTCTCCAACACTATTGCCGGTTTCCGGGTCGTCGGATCGATCGAACTCAAATTTTGGTTTTCGAGCGCCGCCATCTTTTCAATACGTTTATCTTTCACAGACTATCTGGAAATGCATATCCCTTTTTTCGTGCGATTTTTGAGAAACTTTGCATGCCTGTCAAAAGCGAGATGAGCGCTCCGTCTCTTGAGTGTCCAGCTCGGCGCAGCTCGCCTTCCAGTCGATGGCATCGATAGATACGCTCCAAGGTGAAGCGTTAAAACTGCGACGCAAACAATGAGCCATGTGTGGTGTGTCGGAGCAAAAGCGAACGTTTAGCGTCTCCACCCTCATTGCACGAATAGCGCCCGACCTGGCGGAACGGAACGCAATATTTCGCTAGTGCGTCCATCGTCCATTGGCTGCAACGTCTTAGTAGTTCGTCATCCAGGCGGAGGCACTCTAGTATGATTTCGCCCAAGGTCATGAGCGAGTTGCATCAGGCCAAGCTCGTGCCGACGCAATTCACAGTACCGAAACCAGGTGAACACGCGTGGTCGCCGGCTGAGCAGCGTCGCTTCTGGGAGGCCATTCAGCGCTTCCCACAGGGCCCCTGGACAGCCATCGCCGCCTACGTGGGCTCGAAATCCACTCGCCAAGCCATGACCCACGCACAGAAGCTGCGGCAAAAACTCAGTCGATGGAAACGACGTGTACGCAGCGACTCGGTCAGTTCGGCGTGTAGCACTGGCTCCAACTCGAGTGCATCGGCCACGGTTACTACGCCTGCTGACGATAATGGATCTCAGTCACCGCCAATGTCACCGACGGAATATGGTGACATTGGCAAGCTCAGTGTGATGGACCATATTGAGGAGGAGGATGAAAAGAAGTGCATGGAGGACGACTGCGAACCGATGGACATTAAACCAGAGTTTAAGAGCGAAGTACAGCAGTTTGACGGTCATGAGCAGGTGCACGATGCACACGACGACCGCTACTTGGAGCATCTGCTGACCGATATTGAGCCGGTACTGGAGCACGTCGCGCACTTTACGAATGGTTCGCATGACCACGGCACGGAGGAGGCAACGCGGCCAGTGGCGACGACCGACTACACCAGTGAACAGGCAGTGTATTTTACGCACCATGCGGACGTGGCGTCGGAACACAAGACGATGGAGCACTCGTGGCATCAACACCACCCGCACGCTGTGTATTACCAGCAGCATCATCAGCAACAGTATCACCACCAACCGTATAGTGCGCCGGCTACCTCAACGGCAATGCACTACACGCCCAGTGAGGGCGGCCACCAGCACAACAACTTCCACCATATATAAGGTGGCCTCCGTCTCTTGTCGTCTAGAGTTTTCGCGAACAAGACTGGAGTATGCGTGATAGTGAAGCTGAATTAGTTAATAGTTAGTAGTAATCAAACGAGTGGATGGATATCTCAGCACTGCCTGGAATTCATGCGCCCCAGTCGTTCATGACGTGGCTAAGAAGTACTGTACCCATGTTGCTGTGGTAGACGGTCACCGTGATGAACGCGTGATAGCAGTTGGCAAAGTCGGGTCTGTATTTCCATCTGATCTACTTCTCAAAGTGTCCGTCGAAGCCGACGAAGCCAGCCATGAGGAAGACGTGGAAGAAAGGCTTCTTCTCTATTCGAGAGCACCAGTTCCAAGCGCTCGTGAGACGCCCGTCGATGCACGAGCCGGCATCGAAGAAATTGTCCGCACCGCTGCCGTCGAAGCCGTGCTTGAAAAAGTCACACAGAATACGCTTCTGCAGCGTCTCGGCGCCGCCGAAGCTGTCTTCGATATACGCGCGCGTGTTGGGCTGCGCTGCCAGTGCTGGGATGTCGTGCACCGTGTTGACGATGGGACTGAGAATGCGCGAAATCTGCGTGTACTTGTCGATGAACATGAGGGCATTGGGGACGTTGTGGTCACCTAAGTGTACCACTGAAGAGCCGACCCAGCGAGGACGCAGCTTCTGTGTGTGGTGCAAGATCGAGTGCACCAAGTGAGACGTCTCGGGTGCGTGCTGCATACGGTTGAGACCCTGACCAGTATCACGGAGACGATACATGCTGCCACCCAGTAGATCCTCTTCCACGACCCACCACAGACGTAGCATGGACGTTGTAATGTTCTTCCACAGCAGCAGTGACTGCAGCACGTACTCATACTGACTAGCGTGGCTGTGACTTAGTCGCGCGCCGTTCTTACCTGCCCGAATGTCGAGACTGAAACCTGATTCTGCCTTCTCTGGTGTGAAAAACTTCTCCAAGTAGTCGATCATCCGCGTGATTGGCGACCGATTGGATGCCAGGTAGCTCTGGCTATCGGAAATCGATGCAAGGCACAGCCGAATCTCTTCTTCGGACAGCGACGCGGACGAGTAGTCGTGCACGAGCTCCTCGATCGCCTGTTGCTTGTCACGAGAGAAGCGCTGCATTGCTTCTGCGTCAGCCAGTAGATCGGGATCAACAGCAGCCACTGAAGTCGCCACTGCGCAGCGCGTATCACGCAGCATCTCCAGTGCATGGCGTTCCTTAAGCAGCGACGCCACTGTCTTAATAGGTGCCACGCAGGAAAAGCCCAGATAATTCCTAATTTCACGCAAGTTGGCGTCCTGTAGCAAGTAGATCATCTTGCCGTAGTTGTTGCGCATGCGCTCCGGGTTCATGATCTTATAGCGACGTCCGATCTCAAAGACCTGGCGAAAAAACTCCTCGTTGTCTTTGAATTGCTTGTCTTGTACGAGTCGACGTCCTTGACGGAAGTCGTTGGCGATCATCAGTCCAGAAAGCACTCCGAAGGCTTCATTCAGCTCATGGATCACGCGTTTCACGGGCGAGCGGTAGGACAAAACGTCTACCTTGTCTGTGTATTCGCTGACGTTGAGTGCTGCGTCCAGCAGGTTGAATAGCGCACGCTCCTCCTCATTCAGTCGCAATGGGATGTATGCTGCGTCCTTCATGAGCGCTGATGGGGCCTCATCGATCTCGCGCATTAGCTCATCGTCGTCTTCTTCATCCTGGCTGCCGCCGTCCTCCTCTGATTCGCTCGTCACTGGCGCTTCATTGGCTGACGAGGGCTTCATAGGAGACGGAGGAGGGATTGAAGGTGGCGGAGGGGTTGCTTCCTCGTCTGCAGAATCAGTAGGAGGCTCCGAAGGCTCAGGAGGTGGCGGCGGTGGAGTGTTGACACTGGATTGGGCTTCCCTACTGGCCCCCGCAAGCTCTGTCTTGGTGTGCCGCAAACGTGACCCGGCGTGATGCTGTGCCTCAAAGCAAAGTGGACAGTAAACGTCCTCGCAATCCTCGCAGCGCACAGCGGCCGCCGTATCCTCGCACTCGACACACATAGGTGGCGCCATCTTGGCTCAATCGGTTGTTTCGATCGTGTGCGTAAGGTTTTTGGTGTGTGTACTCAAAACTCGCTTACGATATTCGTATTTATACGAATACCGTAAAACTCACATTAAATACGAATATCGTTAAAAATTCTGTCGTTTGGTGTTGTTACTTGTTGAGTTATTTTCAATAGAGCACTTAAGCAGTTTGAGAATTCCTGAGAAAATCTCAGGAATTTTCGTTTTGTTCCTCGTTTTCAGGACGGTAAACTTCGTTGCCAAACACAAAACGAAACGGAATCAGAAGGCGAATTTCCCCCTCTGGCATGGAATCTCAAGGAGACGAGGCTCTGGAGGCAGCGTCACCTCGGCGTCAAGTGACCCTGCTGCTTCATCTGGCACGCACAAGAATCAATACAGATCCGTTATAGTCAATATATTGGACCCATGATAATTGAAGCAGCAATTGTTACGCACAGGAGTTTTCGGTGTCCAGCACGGAGCGCGTGGTGATCGCCAGAGTGAGCGTCACGCCCATCATTTTAAGGTTGGGCGCCATGGTCGACAGACTCGGGGAGTTGAAAGCCGAAGTGTGCGGGTAAAAGCCACGTCAGACAGCTGCTTACAATTTTCAAGTTTAAATTGTGTTAGAATTGTGTACATCTTACCTGCAATACAATATGCGAAGCTGTCCGCACAAATTCTCACAAGCTCGCGCAACGAAGGCGGCAAAACTGTGCCAACCGTGTTATCGCGACTGGGAGGCCGCACATCGTCTCCATCGGCTCGCGCTAGCAGTGCTAAGCGACGCAAGCTCTCGCTATTCTATTCCTCGTGTCCGCTTTGATATCGAGGAGGTAACAGAGGACACGTGCCTCTTCTTCTACCGCTTCACGCACGCACAGCTAAGACGTCTTCAGAAGGCTTTCCAGCTACCAGATGTGATTTGTACCGGGGGGGCATTCACGCGCGAAATGCAGTTGTCTGGAAGGGCTGTGTATCACACTCCATTGGCGTATCCAAGTCGATGGCTGTCCATCTCCGCTATCTATGGCCGATGGCCGAGCGCGCTGAGTAGCATATTTTACCATGTCGTCGAGCACATTGGCTCAAGGAGCGGGAGGCTCTTAGAGGGGAATCTGGATTTGATTAGCTCAAGGTTAGCGGAGTATAGCAGAGCAGTGCATGAGCTTGGAGCTGAGCTCGACTTTGTGTGGGGTTTTGTCGACGGAACAGTGAGGGGTACCTGCAGACCAACTGGGGCGGATGCGCAGCGAAGTGTTTACAACGGGCAAAAGAGAAAACATGGGCTAAAATTCCAGAGCGTTGTGACACCGGATGGTCTAGTCGCTCATCTTTATGGGCCGGTTGAGAGCCGCAGGCACGATGTTGTCTTGCTCCGACAATCTGGATTAGAGCAGCATCTACGTGGTGATCCTCGGTTTCAAGGTTATGCTTTCTACGGGAACCATGCCTATGGACGTACTGATGCGTTTGTGTCGGTACCGTGGCAGGAGGGAAAAATGTGTAGCAGGAATGCTGCTCTGTTCTGGAATTCGTTTTTGTTGTGCACTGCTTAAGGTCCTTTTACACAGTCGGAACGAATCTCTGTGACGCTTTTTTTTCGTTGCGAATAGCGTTTTTCGTCCTCTTGCTTAAGTGCTCTATTAGAGAGCTTTATGCTACGTCGAATTTACAGTAAAAAGGACAGTAAACTTTATCAGTTTTAAGAGGGACGATTTGTTACTATAGTATTGTGCAGTTGTCATTTTTGGCTTTGATGGACAGCGACAGCTCCAGTAGCGAAGACGATTTGGCGGCCATGGCCGTCCTTGCTCGGGCGACGGGCGAGTCGCGCTCAAGCCGCTTTGATTTTGCTCTACCCAGGAGTGATCCACCTGGAAGGAGAGGTTTCGCTTTGGGAAAGACGATCTTACAGCACTCGTCGCGCATTTCCGTCTCCCTGACCCTTTCCCGACCAAGCAACACTATCACGTCACACCATTTGAAGCGCTATGCATTTTCCTACGGCGTATGGCATACCCTGCGCGTCTATGCGACCTTAAAGATCTATTCGGGCGTGACGAGACTGCAATTTCTACGATATCGAATGATGACCTAGAATTTTGTATGCATCTTTTAAGCATCTTCTCCAATATGACCACCACCGCTTGACCAAACCTACGCTTAGCGCATATGCGGAAGCAATTTACGCGAAAGGAGCCCCGCTTCGCACCGGTGTAGGCTTCATCGACGACACAGTTCGTGGAATATGTCGTCCTGGAAAGAACCAAAAGTACGTATATAATGGTCATAAGGTGCGGTTTCTTTCATTTAATTTTTTATAAATCTGCAAATTATTAATAGTATTGTACTGTGCTTTGTTTCCAGAGAAAACACGCGTTGAAGTACCAATCTGTCCTGGCCCGCGATGGTTTAATTATTCATCTCAGCGGCCCATTCCCCGGTACACGGCACGACGCGTTTATTTTTAAGCAAAGTGGACTCCTGGATATGGCAGAAGCATACCTTAGCTGCGGAGAAAAGCACTTTGTGATATACGGAGATCCTGCCTACGCACAAAACAATCATATTGTAGCCCCTTTTAAAGGCGTGGTGCTTTCCGATGACGAGAAGGAGTTCAACAAGCGTATGAGTAGTGTTCGAGTAATTGTTGAATGGGGATTTGGTAAGATCGCTCGATATTGGGCGTTCGTGGACTTTCACAAAAACCAAAAATTGCTGCTTCAAAGGGTCGGCAAGATGTACACAGTTGGTGGTTTGTTAACAAATGTGCACACGTGCTGCTACGGAAGTCAAACTCCTAAGTATTTTAAGTTAGACCTCCAAGCATTGAGCAGTATTTACACAGTGGACAGCTATAAATATCGACAACAGTCAAAATCGATTGTTATTTGTCTAACTTCTCAGCCAACTTAGCTAAAATACCCATTTGGGTAGTCATCATTGCCATTAGCGTGTCCGTTTTCTCGGGATCTTGCTTCAACCTTTGCTCCTCAATTACTAGTCGTCGTTCCTGAATGTCCAATTGCGCTCTCGATGTTTCTCGCGACATGGCTGCGCTTCAGCTTTTACTTCAAGATACTCAACTATCGCTTCTGCGCTGCTTCTTTTTTTTTAGCTTTCGTTTTTATTCTGCGTCATTTTCGCGAGCACGTCGAATCCCAGCCATTGCGTCACGTACTACTTGGCTGGACGCAGCTTCGCGTCTCGCTGCTTCCTTTTCTTCTTGTTAGCCTTCTCCTGTACATGATCATCAAACTACAAAAATAATAAAATTATGAGAAAAGAACGTTTTTTTTACCAATTCCAGGCAGTCGGTGAGAAGCTGCTCGCGTTCACGGTACTCTTCAGCAGTGCCTGACACGCGAAGCGATTTCATCTCCTCGCGTCGAAAAGTGTCGAGTAGAGCTGTGAATCGACGCCTGCAAGCTTTGTCGTCTGCAGTAGAAGCTGAGATTGCGTTTTTGAGTTCATTTGCGACGGTCGTCCAAGCAGTGTTAGTCTCTCCGTGCGCAGCCGCCCAAGGGGTATGTGCAGTGACCTCCTTAAGAAGGAGCACATCACTAGATGGTAGAAAACGGAAGGCCTTCTTCCGTGTAGGCTTGAGATGGGCATTTTGCAGCGTACTGACGCCTTCAGGGTCAGGTGGAATAGGAGGGGGCTCGTGATCTTCATTTGACATTGTCGTTGTGCCTTGGAACCACTAATTTAGACAGAAACCCTTATTTACTATAGACAGGGCGCAAACGCAAATTTTCTTTGTGTTGAGATTACTGTGAGCCCCTACCCCCAACTCATGTGGTTCTCACTGTGACTTTTTTTTCTCTTTTGCTACTGTAGCACAAGGTCTCTAATAGCATTACTATTTTGTACTCTAGGACTACCATATAACCTGGCCGTGATATCACTATCCTCCCGTATGCCACGACATGTCAAGTGCCTCGTTCGCCCGTTTTTGCGAAAATGTGGTACGTCTTTTCGATATTGAGTTCAAATATCATTTCTGATCTTGATGCACAGTCTATCGGTGACCAGTACCGACAAGACGAGACTTCAATCTATTTTCTTGACAGCAATTGGGATTTTCATTTATTCGCAATGTCGGTGGTAATTTGCAAAGACCCCATGAATCAAAATTAGAAAAGGAGATGATCTCTCTCGCTCCGTGTTTCGAGGTTGCATGGAGTCGGAATGACGGAATGGCTCAGTTGTTCACGCCAGACACGACATAAAGTGCCTGAAACGTGTCACAGCTCTTTGGTGGTGGCGGTGGTGGTGTGTATGGATGCGCGATGGATGTGCTGAGTTTGCACCTCGTGTACGGCTTGGGACAAAACATTGAGAGATACTGTTTTATTGACCCACCACAAATTCTACAGAGAAGCACCGTAGGGTGTGCATGCTTAGCGCGCCATCCCCAATAACGCAGAGTTGGTCAAAATGGTTCACAGACCTATCCACTACTTCAAGAATCCACAGCTTACCGAACGACATATGTAGGTTTAACGATTTTATGGATTTCACGAAATCGTCGTAGTGGTTGATTGCAATGTACGCATTGCATCGACGGTGACTCTAGTTGAGCAACGTTTTTTTGTCTTGGACTCTTTGCATTTATCCCGTGTCAATTTCCAACATTGAGAGTGACATGGCGACTCTGATGTATCTCCCAGCCTTTGGTGGACGACTATCATATAATCGCGTAGCTTGCAGCGGTAAAAAAAATGTCTTTGACGGAGTTTGCACGCTTTGACGAGCAGCGGAAACTCTGACCGCCTCGAAATTAATTGTTTTGTGCTGTTGGTTGCCTCGAGGCCAGTGTCAACCGAACCTCGCAGAGCGCCGTTTAGTACATTTAGTCACTGCCCTAAATACCACAAAGTAGTCCCATTAGCCGCGAACGTTTGCCAGCATGGTGTCACTCAATTGCTTCGAAACAAGGGAGAGAAATCGTGGAACACCTCTGGGATGCCTCGACCTTGTCGAATGCTTGTGCCTTGCGGTAACCAGATGCCTCGTTATTGTGGCCTGATGAGCTAGCAGCCCACTCACAGTTGCGCCAAGTCGTGATCGCTTCCCAATAAGAAGCTTCAGGTAATTCCAGTTAGATCCAATCCAGTTTGTCGTGGTGTCTCCGGCGTTGAATTTATTCTCCCTTAATGTGGTCTGCCCACATGCCAATACACGATTCCCATTTTGCTCGAAATATTTCTGCAGCGCAGCGCACTCCTGTTTACAGGTTTTCTTGAAGGTAGAAACTTCCGAGCCAAACTAGTTAGCGATTTGCTGTTGTCGATCTGCAACATGATGTGCAACACACTGTCAAGCAACACACTATCAGCATCATAAAAAGCAACTCAAACACATGAGGTTCGTGAACATAGACTCCAGCGTTTCCCGCTCTGTCCCCTTCAGGCTGTACTCCTCCCGCTTACAAACCTTGCGCCAGTTCGTCAGCGCGTGGAACTAGCAAAGTAGAACGGTAGCCCCTGGAAATGCCTTCTCCAGCACCCTCCACTCAACAAAATCTTTGTCTGGATTTACTTCACTGGATCAAAACTTACTTGGAAGACAGTGCATGGACGGTATGTAGACGATATTCTCCGTGCAGACCCCAATGCTAGAACTATAAGGAATTCACGCTCTACCTAGTACGCCCACTACTATTTCCCTGGTGTGCGCCTTATACGGACTGCAGAGGACGATTGTGACAGCTGTTTTCGTTTGGATACATTACTTCAGCAGCCCGATCTTACAGAGAACTACCATGACCAAATGGATATTCCCTGTGTAATTACGATGCAGACGTCAATTCAGAAAAAGGTTTCGCACTGTGGTGCTACCCTCTGGTCATGGTTGGGCCCGTGGAAGTAATAATTTGGGATACCATATAGGTAAAGTTGACATGGATTGGCATTTTGAGAGGGCTGATAGTGGGACTAGTCCTTTTCGCTCATGTGTGCAATACAGGTAGTCTTGTCGCTACAACAGCCAGGAAGAGGGATGCCTGTAATCAATTTTCTTGCTCTCGATCAAAACCGCTATTAAGATGGAAACAATAGTGGATTTTTTTAGCGCAAGAATCCGTCGTGGGTACTGACGGGGACGGTGGTGAGCCACGAAAAGCCGTCCTCCAGTATTCAAGGTGAGGAGTGAATTTTAAAAGCTTTCAAGGCCTCGTCGCTGATTCCATGCCGCGGTTTAGGAGGGACTCTACGAGTGTGAAAAGTTTCAATCCCAGACTTAGCATTTTTCTTACCCGTGCGACTCGGCTATCTCTAACAGGAATCATCGCTCGTATTACTCGTTCGGTAAGATCCTGCTGCAATAGCTGCAGGACGACGCCTTTGGATTATTCCCACTCCTTTCCACCATTATTAGTATCCCATGAGTCCCAGTCTTCTCGGGTAGTTTTCACTGTGTCTTCTCCTAGCAGCCCAACGGTACGTGTGTGTGCAGCAGTTTTTCTCTGAGCATTTCCGTCTAGACCACTTTGACTTGGTGCCCTGAGAACCCCCACTTGGCCGCACAACCATGCCGCGTACAGAAATGCGATGTCGATGTGGCCGTAAGTTGAGATCTGGTGTAGCAGTTGCAACTCGCCCTGGCTTCCGCCCTAAAATAAAATAATTATGGATAACGATAAAGAATTATGGAGGACATCGGGGTCCCGTCAAACATTTCATATGTTGACACGACATTACATAGAGAGAAGAGCTCTAGCCTTCAGTACCATTCACAGTCCAATAACAACCAATAAGAATACACCAAGAGCTTTTCTGTACACTCTCTGGCACTCAGGCAGGTACTGCCTAGCGCTCACAGTTAAATCGTGAAGATCTGATTTGATAGTCTGCTCAAACATTTAGCCATTTCAACCGTGATAACCTGTAATCTATGGGAATTGACACGGTGGACCTAAATATATCATGTATGGAGGGATATCAATACGGGAGGAGCGAGCATTATTCGGAATGATTAGGCGTAAGGTTTCTTTAGGTTCATTTAGGAAAGGATTTACTGCATTCTGTTCTAGTACCCCGCTAATCCGCTCAGATAACCTAACCTTCCATAATAATAAGATCATGATTTTTACGACTGATTCGCCAAAATACATGAAAAGCACAATACGTAAGACCTTAAATTGGAGGGCGTTTTGGCAGAAAGCTCAATACTGTTTATGTTAAGGTTACGCGCCAGTTTAAAAGAGATTTCGGAAGGGTCAACTTTAAGGTATCATATCAGAGTCAGTTTTTGACGTATGACAACGTTCTTAGCAGTAGACAAAAGACGCCGATTTCGGCTATTTTGTGAGGTAACAACCAATATAATTCATCGTAAGCGAAACGAAAACAATGCCCGAAAAAAAGTATCTCGGATTTGGGAGGCGCCAGTTTTGTATTTTGAAGTAGAGATTTTTTATTAGAGAGTTTGTGTTAAAATGCAGGATGGCAGTCGGATGTTCTCTACACAACTTGCGTGGGTAAGATGGTTTTGGTGTACACACAAAAGCCCGCTAAAAATAGTAAGATCGACATATCACTTTTGAATTTACGATATTCGTATTTAAGTGAGATCAGGGGGAGGGCGCGTGACTGTATAGCGAGCAGGAAGAACCAGCCGCAGCCAGCGAGCAACCGACTGCACGCGAGCGAGCGAGGCACCACAGCAAAGCGCGGCGACAGAGCCCGACTCATTACCTGACAGAGACCGACCTTTTCCCCTCCTCCTCCTGCCCCCTCAGACACAATGGGTGCGTTCCTCAGCGGGGAAGACTGAGGCTCTTCATGAGTGCGGAATTGGTTCTTAACCTTGTGTAACGTTACGTGTTACAGAGGACGAAGTATACCCCATGACGCTGCTAACCGAGGAGCTTAAGAGCGATGAGGTAGAGACGCGCATCAAGGCCATGCGGCGTCTGCGTACCGTGGCGCAAGCACTAGGACCGGAGCGCACGCGCTCGGACCTGCTGCCATTCCTGCGTGGTTCGTGTTAGATAGCGTTAAGATCTGTTATTGACCCGGTTATTAACCAGCGTAATGGAGCAGAAGCTACAGAGGACGAGGATGAAGTGCTCGTGGCGTTGGCCGAGGAACTTGGCGGCTTCGTGGACCATGTAGGCGGTGCTGAGCACACCGCAGCTCTTGTGGAACCCCTTGAGGTGCTCGCCGGCGTGGAGGAGACCGTCGTTCGCGACCGCGCCGTCGAGTCTCTGCAAAAGGTTGTGACCGTTCTGCCCAACGCGGGAGACATCATGGTGCCTCTGGCCAAGCGCTTGGCCGAAGGAGACTGGTTCACGTCACGCGTGTCTGTATGCTCGCTCTTTGCGCCCATCTACGAAAAGGTGACGGACGCTGGACGCAAGAAGGAGCTTCGCGAGTACGTCTAGGGGCTTTCAGGGTGGTTGATGACAGAGTTCCGAGTCTAATTCATGGTGTTGTGATGTTGCAGCTTGTATCAGTTGATGTGCAACGATGACACGCCCATGGTGCGTCGTGCTGCAGCTTCCAACATTGGCAAGTTCGCGAGTGCCATGGAGAAGGAACACATTGCCAGCATGATCCTTCCGCTGTTCCGTGCGCTTACAGCGGACGACCAGGACAGTGTGCGTCTGCTGGCTATTGAGAACTCGGCTGCTATTGCCGATCTGCTTTCGCAGGACGAGAACTCGCTGCACGTGCTGCCTATCGTGCGTTCGTCTGTCGAGGACCGCTCGTGGCGTGTGCGATTCAGCATTGCCAAGGACTTCTTCCCGCTCTCTCGTGCCATGGGAACCCAGATCACGGAGTCGGAGCTGCTTGGCTGCTTCAGCAACCTGCTGCAGGTACGGGAGCGATGTGAAATACGACGACAGAATACAAAGGGACAGTATGACTGATGATATGCTGTTCTTGTTACTTTTCACAGGATGCTGAGGCGGAAGTGCGTGCCGCTGCTGCGAAGAACCTGTCGGGATACATCTCCATTATCAAGAACGAGCTGTTTTCGAGCGAGATTCTGCCACTGCTGTCGGCTCTTTCGCAGGATACGGCTCCCAACGTTCGAAGTACGTTTTAGTTGCTGCTCTACTCTGAAGCACCTGCTAATGTTGTTTCTTGTTATTGGCGATCCTGCCCGTTGCAGCTGCTGTTTCCATCGCGTGCATGGAGCTTGCGCCTAAGCTGGGTGAAGCTACGTCCAAGTCGACGCTGGCCCCTCTACTTTTGCTCTTCCTGCGCGATGAGGTCGTGGACGTGCGGCTGAACATTTTGAAGCGTATGGAACTTCTTGCTCAGTGGATGGCGTCGTTCGAGTCGGTGCTTCTTCCCGCCATTGCTGACCTGGCGCGCGACCTGCAGTGGCGTGTGCGTGAGGCCGTGATCCTCTCTATCCCTGCTCTTGCTGGCAGTCTGGGCAGTCAGTATTTCCAGGAGCACCTGCTGGAGATCTACGTTAGCGCCTTCACCGACATGGTGGGCGAGGTTCGCCTTAGCGCCACGAAGATTCTGCCACAGCTACTAGAGTCTCTGGGCAGCGACTACATCCTTCAGAACGTTATGCCGCGCCTGAACCAGATCTTCGAGAAGTCCGTGATCTACCAGGAGCGCGTCAATGTGCTGCACGCGCTCAAGCAAATGGCTGTGGAGAAGGTGTCGAGCGATTTGTTGAACCTAATGATGACGCTGGCGATCCGCGGCGCCCACGACAAGATCCCCAACGTTAGATTCGTGGCCTCCATGACCTTAGAGCAACTGTGTAAACTCGCCGATGCTTCCGTGGTCTCGGCTCAAGTCCGGTACGTCCAGCAGTCTTGTGCGGCTGTATCTGTTGGCATGGAAACTAACGGTGTTGTTTTGTACAGACCCTGCCTGACGGAGCTGGCGAACGATTCCGACATGGACGTCAAGTATTACTCGAGTATCGCGCTGGATGCGGTCCAGGGCTAGACAGTGTAGGAACGCGCTCTTTTCGTGAGGATTCGTGGAGGTGTTCGTCCCTCTTCTCAATTCCTTTCTGGCTTTATCTCGTGCGTTGAGCCCCTTCAAGAGCGATGTCGCTCGTCCCTCCCTTCACCGGGACTCCCTTTTTCTGCTATTCATATTCTTGCTCTAGAGTTTAGGCTGTGTTGGGCGCTTGGCAGCAAAACAGCAGCAGTAGGCATATAAAGCACCAACCCCACAGACAATGTAAACGAAAGCTGGGCTTCGCAATTGCTTTTATGAGTTAATGCATCTCATGCAAGCGTCTACTGCACCCGAAACCTATGCAATGCAACAATCTATCGTTCTCGTGCTTGGAGACCAGCCTCATACTCGCGGCAGGACAATGCTCTCAATGAAATACTGGTGCCAGCGTGCGTCGGTTGTGATCTCCGGGTGGAAGGCTGTAACCAGGATGTTTTCCTTGCGCGCAGCGATGATGACGTCCAGGGGGTCGGAACCATCGGCGGGTTTGGCGTTGGCCACACGCGACAACACCTCGATTTCTTCACCAACTGAGATAATGGCGGGCGCGCGGATAAACACGGCGTTGTAGGGCTCAGCGTCAAAGCCCGGCGGTCCGGCAACGAGCATCTCAAAGCTGCGCACCTGTGCGCCGAAGAAATTGCGCGAAACCTCAACGTCTAAGCCGCCGATGAGCGTCTGGCCGCCTTCCTCGGCGTGCTTGGCCTGCTGGCTCAGCATGATCATGCCGGCGCAAGTGCCCCAGATAGGACGGCCATCCGCCACCCACTTCTTGAGGGGCTCCACGAGACCCCAGCGCACGGCTACTTTGCCGATCGTGGTGCTCTCGCCACCAGGCAGCACGAGGGCATCCACGTTCTGGAGCTGTTCCGGCAGGCGAATGGCCACAGACGTCACAGTCACATGCTGGCCGGACGAAGTGGTGGCAGTAAGGCCCTCCAGCATGGCCATATGCTCCTCAAACGCGCCCTGCAGCGCCAGCACGCCCACGGTCAATGTCTTGGTGTTCTCAGTCATTGTCTTGAGCTCTTGTGTTCTTGCAAGCAAGTTGAGTTCTGACGTTTTTGATAGGATGACTTGGCTATTCTATGATCACTGGCCCATTTGGTGGCCCATAATTATTCCTCTTTAATCGAATATCGAATTTCATAATACTTCTCCTCTAAATCGATATGGCTACACAAAGTCGCTTTTCCACATCGCATTCGCACACTCAACATGGCGTCCGAGGCTCATTTACGCGCGCAGTATGAGGTGCGCTCGCTCAGTCTCTAGCAACGACACACCAGTCTAACCTCTTCCGCAGCTGCTGGTGAAGGAGAACAAGCTGCTCAAAACGAGCGTGGAGAAGCTGGACCGCGAGAACCACGACCTCAAGCGCTCAGTCTACGAGTTGACACTCAAGTAGGACCCGCATTCCCCTTCAAATTGCATACCATCGCTCATGCGATACAAAAGGGAAACCAAGTGGAAGTTGAAGGCAACCAACTGACCATCACTCTTCATTTACAGACTCGATTCCGCGCATGCACCGTCCTCGACGACACGCGCGGCGGCTGCTGAGCCCTTTGCTATCGCTGACCTGCTGGCCGCTCCCGCCCCGAACGCCGAAGCCGCCGCCGAGTCGTCCTTCCGTCGCGCACACGGCGGCTCGGGTGCACTGCTCGGCACCAAGGGAGACTTCTACGACACTGACGGGGATGGAGACGCCCGCGTGTTGGTGCACAAGTCAACGCTGCGGGCGCACGGCGGCGCCGTTTACACGGCCAAGTTCTCGCCATGTGGTCGGCTGCTGGCGTCCGGCAGCTTCGACTGCAAGGTAATGCTCTGGGATGTGACCACCAAGTTTAATCAGCCGCAGCTGGCGGCACTCTCGAGGCACTCACAGCTCGTGATCGACGTGAGCTGGGCGGAGGACAGCGCCAGCCTCGTGTCGGCCAGCTATGATCACTCGGTTAAGCTCTGGGACGTTGAAAAGAGCCAACTCGTGACCAGTAAGGAGGTGGACGGACTCGTACAGTGTGTGGCGTTCAATATGGCAGGTATGGATAAAGAATTACAGGTGCTGCAAAATGTGACTTTACTAACTTGTTGATACAGACAACAACCAGTTCTTCTTGGGCTCCAGCAAGTGTTGTCTGCACATGGCTGATGCGAGGTCGGATGTGTGCCGCACATGGACGAACGACGCTATGGTGAACGCGCTCCATGTTACTCATGACGGCCTCACGATTACCACGGGTGATAGCAAGGTTTGTCTGTATTGTTGAAGGTATTTTACTGGAAGGACTGACGTGGAGCTGGGGTGGTACAGGGCATGCTCAAGACCTGGGATGTCCGCATGGATGCCTGTCTGGAGGAGCTATCGGTGCTGAATGACCCGGCCAGACACGCCATCTCGCACGTCCACGCGTCACCTGCCAGCGATGGCGGTGATGATGGCCGTTTCCTAGGCGTTAACAGCTACGACAACGTCCTGCGTGTGTATGATCGACGCTCTAAACTCATCAGCTCTCGGAGCACAAGGCGCGGACCTGGAGCCGGTAGCGACAGTCGTGATGGCGACCAACTGCAGCTGGTATGCTCTGTATCGGGTCATAAGAACAAGAACTGGCCAATTAAGAGCTCGTTCTTCCGTGGTGACGGCTACAAGTACAAGCTGGCACTGCCACCACGTGGGCGCCTCGGAGGAGGTCTTGGCGCCGGATCTGGGTCTGGATCGCGGCGCAAACTTACAGACGGTGACGGAGAAGACTTTGCTGACCCCAGCGGTGAGCGCGGATCCATGGACTCGTCGCGCGAGACGCTACTCCTTGCTACGGGGAGTGCAGACCGTCATATTTACTTGCACGAGGTGACTCCATCCAAGCACGTAGATAGCAGTGGGGGAAGCAAGAGTAATGGCCCGGGCAAGCACACACAGACCCTTGTGCAGAAGATCGATGCCCACAACGACCGCGTGTACTGCGTGGACTTCCACCCGACCGAGCCGATTCTGGCTTCTGCTTCAGCGGACTGCTCGATCAAAATCTGGCTGCCGCGCTCTGGTTCCAGCTCCGTTACACGTCATGGAAAATCCAAGAACTAAGGACACACCTAGCAATGCCAGTATGCACATGTGATGAATTGATGCAGAAGCCACGCAGAAAAACAACGTGTATTATATAAATGAATGCTCACGTAACTCATGTGGCAAGCAGGACGCGTTTGCGGCGACGTTTGTCATTGAGCTGAGCTTCGGCATCTTCTTGCTGCTTCACCTGTACCTTGCGGGAGGCCCGATCTATCCAGGAGCGCGCCTTCGACTGCCAAGCGGACTCACGATCTCGAACAACCCCACGAGCTTCTTTACGAAGTGCCAGGATGCGATGCTGGGCCAGAGCGCGTCGACTCGCCACAGCAGCTTCAGCCAGCGCCAGCTTCCGAGCGAACGCGTCTTCTTTCTGCTGAGTCTTGGTGCTAGCAGCTTCTTCCATAGCTTCCAGCTCGGTACGTCTGTCTTCAGCCATCTTTGCGAGGTATGAGCGATGCTCAGCGACCAAAGCGGGGACTAACTCTCCTGTCTCGCGAGCTTGACGTTGAGCAGCAGCAAACTCAGTCTCTTTCTGCTTGTAGGCCTCCAGCAGCTCAAGTTCTCGAGCAGCGACCCGAGCTTTGATATCTTCACGCTCCTTGGCGATCAGCTCAGCAAACGCTTTCTCTTCTGCAGCGTTAGTAGATCGCTTCTCCTCGACAAAGGCCTCCACGTCTCGTTCAGTAGCTCGGATCTTCTGAGCCAAGTCCTCGTCCACACGAGCCTGTTCCTCTGCAAGTTGAGCACCATCGTCACGCAGCGCAATCCCAGCTTCACGCAGCTCCCGTCCGAAGAACCAGTCGTCGGCTTCCACGACCTGGTCGTTGAGTGCTTGTAGTTTTTCACGTAACTCAGCAGCGACGCTGCGTGCTGCGGCGTCACGAAGATCCCGAGCTTCCCACAGCCAGCGAAGTGCAAGTGCTCGAGCCGCTTCGTTCAGCTCCAGTCGCCAGTGTCGCGAAGGATCCTTGCCTTCTTCGTCCGAGTCGACATGGTCCTTCTTCCCAGCTCGCCGACGAGAGCGTTTGAGCTTGCGTGCATAACGCTCCATCTCTTCCTGCGCTTCGGGTCGAGGGAAGGCGCCACCCAGTCGTTTTCTGGCAGCTAACAGCCATTTTGTGAGCACGCGACCTTCAATGGCCCCACGCGCTACGACGATGGGAGCGAACGGCACTTCGCCTCCGTCTTCATCGCTGCCTTCGTCGCTCGAGAATTCGTCAGCGCGGATCTTTCTCATCCCAGCAACAAGTTTGTTCGCCTGGTTCCCTATCGCCTGCTGTCTGGCAGCCACGCAGACGTTGCAGAGCGTGGCGAAGGCTGCGTGCTTGCGGAAGTACGCTTTCCACAGGTCAGCGTCCATCTCCTGCGCTCCAAGTTCGTTCTCAAATCCGTCAATGAGTCGATCTAACGCTCGTGGATCATGTTCTTTTGCTCCGTCTTCTGCTGCCAGGTCAACATGAAGCGTGTAGCCGCCATCCTCGCGTTTACCACAGACACAACATTCGCTCTGACGACTAGCAGCTACGATACCAGCCACGAGCTTGGCGAACGTTCGTCGCTTACGAGCTCGTGCCAACCAGTACAGCGCCAAGTCACGCGAGGCTCCCTCCACCGGCACGTTCGACCAAGCGCGACGCATTTTCTCGAGATCATCTTCAGAATCCGACGAGATGTCGGACCTGTCGCCTTTGAGTCGCCGTCCTTCGCCCATGTTCACGAGTTCATGGTACAGATCACGGATATACTCCGAGTTGGGGCGGCCATCACCTGCCGGACCGTCTGTGGATTGAAGTGTGCGCGGTGTGAAAAGCTCTGCAAGATGCTGCAACACCCACGGCCGGTTGCGTTCCAGGAAGCGATGACGGAATCGTTCCGAGTTGAGAGCTTGTAGCTCCAACCTCTCACGTTCAAGTTCTCGTTGTCTACCAGCACCCAGAGCCAGCTTCGCCGCTAGATCTTCGTCCAACGTACCGTCAGCGAGTTTGCGGGGCTTCCAGACTTTAAACTTATCTCCGATTCGGATGCAGCTGATCTCAAGCCCACGCATCAAGTAAAACACCACAGCGATGACAAGAAGCGTGATCGGGTCTCCAAAGAAGCTGTAGCTGGCTCGCAGACATATAGAGATCCCCAACATACTCAAAAGAATACCAGCGGAGTAAATGATTAGCAAGAAGTAGAGCTGTGACGAAAAGCAGAGCAAGTCCAGGCTCTGACAGCTCGGATGAATGCTCTCGTCCGCTGCCGTGTGGGCCAGCGGCCATCGAGTATCTCGCGTGGCAAAGCGGTGTCTCTGGTATGCTGAGTACTCGTAGAGTTTCCATCCGTGCGCCAGCTCCATCGTGTTTAGCTGAAGCGCGCCAAGAACGAAGTTACTCGGGATGATGAACAATGAGAACAACGCGTAATACAGCAAATCCGTCTGCCGGACTCCGTAGAGTGCCGGCATTTGCGTATCGTCGCTGAAGAACGCCTGGAAGGCCAGCAAAATTGGCGCGATGAAGAGCTCTGTGAACACGACGCTGTAGCCTGCTATTCCTTCAAGCACAGCCTCCACGCCTGAGGCTTCATTGTCGATCTTCTCGCATACACGCTGCCACTCGGCGTCCTCTTGCGCTTTTTGCTCGCGAGTACGTCGCCGTCTCTTCCTCATTCTTCGCTGAAGCGAGAGACGCCATTTAGGCCACAAAGAACGTGAGCGACGCAATAACGGCGCCGTGTACAGATGCTCAATCATCACCAGAGTCAAGTTGACGAAGTAAAACATGGTGAAGCCGATGAAATCTGCCGAGCCCATGGCCATCATACTCTCCGAGGCCGACAACACCACAGCGAACGGCATGACCAGCAGCTTTTCGTGCAAGAAATGCTCCAGCACGAGCTCTATCATCGCCCGCAAGATCTTGAAGAGAACGAGGTAGCCGTAGATGTTGTTCGTGAAGGACGGAGAGTACGAGAACTCCCAGAACACCAGCATCGGCGCCATGAAACACAAGGTCGTGAGCAGGAAGTTGGCCCGTTTCCAAACTCGAGGGTCCCAGAACTCGTTCTCTTGCTCTTCTTCCTCTTTATCAGCTTCGACGGAGAACGGATCGGTGGGTGTCGTGATGGACATCTCCTTGTACGCGTTGTCTTCGGGTTTGGCGTCCAAGGTCTCTGGTATGAGTAATCTCGACCCGAGTAGCAACAGGTAGATCCCGATCACTACTAAGCATAGCCCGACTCGACCGCGCTTGTAGTTCTCGACTCGAGTCTTATCCAGCGAGATTTGGTCCAGCCAGTCACCCGCCGTCGCCTCAAATGACGCTGCACTTGGAGAATTGAGCGGGTCTGTTGAAGCCAAGACGTGCCACCAAGTGTATATGAGCATGCACACTACAAAGATCGGCACGATCGCGAAGAAGATGCCGATCGGTGGTGGTGTGGCCACGTTCTTGAGCAGCAACTTCATGCGGAACTTGGGCGGCCGCTTCATCTTAGTGAACAAGCGGTTGATCATCCAGATGATGAACTGTAAGCAATTTAAAGCACAAGAGTGAGAACGGCCCAGTAGAAGATGAACAGAACAGTTCAACGTACCCCGATGATCATGCTGGCCATGGCTACAAGCGTGAAGAAGCCCAAGTACACGTCCACGGTGAACTGGAAGAGATTCATGAGTTCGAACCAGTCCAGTGGCTCCCAGGACACTTGCAGCGTGTACGCTTTGGACGCCAATTGGTTCGTCGCCTTGCTGAACGTGCACGGGTAGATGTCCTTCTTAGCCAACGTAGCCAGCAAGTCCACCGATCGAGTCACTGCGCACAGTTTGCCAAAGTTCACTGAGGCTTGCACGAGTCGCTTCTGACCTGGTGTGACCTGGTAGTAGCTCAGATTGAGATACACCTCCTGCGGCACTGCCAATGCTACACCAGCGTCTCGTCCAACTGACAGCGATACGCACACAGAAAGGTTAGTATTTTAGATCACTCTCATGAACTTTCGTGCTTACCTTTGACAGGAATGAGAGCGTCAGTGTCTAAGTAATTCTGCAAGGTGTCGGAGCGTCCCCAACCTGTTCCTGTTGCGGCATCGCCTTCAGCGACAAAGGCATCGGCTGCTGTTGGCTCACGAGTGATGTAGAACAACGTTGTACCCGTCGGTGCCTCGTACCAGCGCAGCTTCTCCGCGCCACCCTCGAGGTTTTCCTCGTACAAACACGACAAACTCACGCCACGCTGGAATGTCTCGAACGTCGTGGTCGCCGCCGATGAATCCGAACTCGAAGTCAAACTCGACGCTGCCGACGAGATGGACGAAATGAGAGACTGCGTGGCTGCTACCTCCGCTGTGTACTCGATCACACATCGATCGGCATTCGGAGTGAGCTTCTTCCTCCACGGATACTGATCCACCTCCACGGTGTGGTCGTAGCTCACGAACGTACAGTCTGGATGTGTCTCGAGCATTTTAAAGAGGAAAATGTGCGAGTCAAAGCCTCTACACGACGAGAAGTAGGGCAAGTACGGCAGAGCGAGGAACTCGGATCCACCTAGTTCCTGAGTCCACCACGAGTCTGAACGCAGCATCGTTTCCAGCGGATCTGGAACCGAGTACAATCCGAAATACTCCGTCGGTGGAACCACAGTTTCGGTGCTGTTACTGCTCGCATTCGCGTCGAATTCGATCAATTCTCCGATGCTATTCTGCTCCGTATTGCGAATGTATCCACGTTTACTCGGTAGCGCGGGATCCCCGACGAAGATGTCCGACATGCGGTTGATGAGCACTGTACTCGCAACCTGCTGCTTGTACGTGAGGGTACCGGCCACTCGAACGTACTCTTCGGGCAGATTCAACGGCAGCATCAACTCGTCCATGTCTTCTTGTTGCATGACAGCGAGGAACGTGTTGGTCGAAGGAGTGGACGGAGAATAATCCGCGCGTCCAGGAGTGAATACCGTCAGGTCGAATCGATCCTCTGTAAACCCATCAGCAAAATCGCGAACGTACAGGCCGTGGACCAGTTCCACAGCAATGGTGATCTCCGTCTGTTCCAACGCAGAGATGCTGAACTGCATGTAGCCATGCTTGTTGTCCGGGAAGCCTCTGTCCGTCGCAGTGTCTGCGAAGTAGTAGGGCATTTCCTGCCGCTCACACGAACAACATCCAGCGATGTTTGTCGTCGCGTTGCTTCCGCTATCCGCAGCGGTTCTCAGTACTTCGGCAAGAGGAAGCGTGCGTCGATCGCAGAAGAACGGCATGTTGTTGCACACAAAGATATCCCCGTCGTATATTTCCATACATTTCTTGTATAAACGAGTGGCGGTGATGTTGTTGTTGTCCGGATACGTACAGCCAGGGGGTTCGTCGCTCAAGTCGCACTTGTATTGGGGCGGACAGGGCTTGCAGTCTTGGTACACAGAGATCTGGTAGTGTGCGCCGTACGTGAGGTTGCGCTCTAACTGAGTCGTGTTGAGCGTCACCACAGCCACCTCGAAAGGCTCAAGAATGATACTACCCAGCCCCTGACCTGCAATTCCCGTCAAGTCCTGGAAGTCTGAGCCATTCAGCAGTCGAGCGCTCTTCAATGGGATGGGACTAATACGCTGCAGCACTTCGTCTCCCGTCGTGACACAGTCGTATATATCGTCCGCTCCTGAGGTCGATGTGGTTCCGTTTGGACACTTGAGCATCTGCGAGCACGCGCACGCGTCCAGTCTTATCAGATCTCCGTCACTGTCTTCGCTAGAACCCGACACAAAGCCCGCGAACGTCGGTGTTTCTTCTCCAAAAGTCTCAATCAACTCGATCGCATGGTGTAGATCGTACACGTACGGGTCCACAGGAACAGCCTCAGCCGCGTATTTCGCCTCAACTAGAGTCCGAAGCTCAGTGTACGAGTGCACCAGTGTCGTTTCCGTCCACCCCGTCTGGAATTTCACGCCAGTGCCTCCATCAGCTACCAGCGCAGTGAGATCCACCGGTTTCGAGCCGTGAGTGCCAGGAAATACGCACTGAGTGGCAGAATTGTGGACATCAGGCCAGCCAAACCACTTCGGATCATAGACAGCGGGCGTCGCAGTGGACGGCTCTGTCGTACACTTCCAGAATTGAAACACCCGACGCACCACTTTCATTTGTGCCACACAGTCGCAATCATTACGGCGCAGTGCCAGCTCCACTGCCCTCCACTTGTGATCACGAGCACACAAGCGATTTTGCTCTTCCGCTCGATTGGCCACAGTTTTCTTGTCTGGATCATTGGGATCTTGACGTAACCGGAAAATACCGACGAGGTCGTCATCAACGCCATCAAAGCAGCGCATATCGTGAGCAGATACGACTCGAATGTCGCCTTCTCCGATGTATTTCGTGTAGTTTACGTACAGGAACGGATTACTGTGCTCACTCGACAGTCGACGACGAAGCGCGTCGTTCGCTACTTCTCCATAGAACGGGTTCGCAGTGCCCGTGGGACAGAAATATCCAGCAGGACACTTGTTGTGCTCTTTCTGCGACTCGGCAGTGCCAGCGACGCAGTATTTTCCTGCTGGACACAGTTCGTGAAGTTGACCTCGTGGTGCATCGAGTGTAAGATCTGGTGTCGTGCCAGCTCCACAGACGTATCCAGGTGGACAGAGGTGAGAGAATGCAGTGTCAGCCGTCGTGGATGCGTCGCACACATACCCCTCCGGACACGGTTGTGCCTGTGCAACCAGCTCATCTGCAGACGATACTTTCGACCAAAGCGCAGAAGAACAGAAGATATCCGCCTCACAAGTACCCGGATACCATTGCTTCTTGTAGAAGAACCCCGGTGTGCAGTTGCGTGCAACGTCGTACGCCCTCGAAACAGGCAGATCAATCGCCAACGAACCGCGTGCGAACATATTGGGCGGAGGATATTGGCTGTCCGAGCCGTAGCCTTGATGAGGAACACCCGCGCCCGTACTGATCTCGTAAAGCGGTCCATGGAAATCTGCAAACCTTTGGTACAGGTCCGATCCCCGCGGCTTCGAGTTCTCATAACAGCGTCCATTGTCACGGTCGGGAAGGAAGTGAGCACCTCGCCCCAATTCGTCGATCCACGGTTCCAGTAGAACCCCGAAAAAATAGTGTGAACCACGTTCAAGACACTGCGCGAACGTTAAATTGGTCGCCACGGGCGTATACACGTCCGGCAGGTCGTCGACTGTGCACGGGTTCGAGATGCCGTCAATAGGGCATACAGTTCCAGGTGCGCATTCGATACATTCTTCTACACCACGTAGCTCCCAGTTCTTGGACCATGTACCTTGAGGACACGCCAAACACGCCAAACCATCGGCTGCCAGACTACCGCGATACGAACCAGGTGGACAGATACTGGCCACGGCTGTGCCGTCATTCTCACAAGACGTACCTGGAGGACACGGCACGCACTCAGTTGACTCGATTGTCGGCGCGTAGTAACCGGGGGAACACTCAGCCGCAGACACGGTGCCTTCCAGCTTAGCAAACGTTCCTTTCGAGGTAGGAATCGGTGCAGCCGTCCCGCTCGGACACGTGAAACCAGGCGGACAGAGACCTGAGCCTTTGGGCGAATAGGAGCCCAACTCACAGTAGAAACCGGCCGTACAATTCTGCGGATAGCGATAGTCTCCCACTCGAACCTCGTCAGCTACGACTCCTTTGAGACAGTAAGTACCCGGTCGACACGGATACGGTCTCAACCTCGTATCGTTCCGGAACCCGTCGGACGTGGCTGTTCCTTCGAGACAGTAGAATCCTCTTGGACAAAGGCTATTCGGTGACGCGAGCGCTGTCTTGCTGCACACGTACCCAGACGGACATAACGCAGGCATAATTCGACCGTAACCCGGACAGATAAACCAACAGGACACGAAGTGCAGTTCGACTGCGCTGTCATGGCGTTGAACGTACCAGGAGGACACGGTAATGGTGCGATGTGACCTGTTTGGGGGCAGTGCGAGCCTGCAGGACACGGAATTCGCGTGCCGAACAGACAATAAAAGCCCGGAGCGCACTCTCCAAAGCCTCGCGGACTTGAACTCCCCTCTGGACAATACATGGCCTCGAAACAGGGCTGAGACGTCGGAAAAATCTTCATAAGCGAGTCACTAGCTGCCGTCCCTGGGTGGCAGTACGAACCCGCTGGACAGGCAACTGGCCGTCGCAGTGCAAAGTCCGTCGAGTCATAGTTAAAGAACCGATCCTCGACTCGAAGATTGTCTTGGTCAGCGAGCTTCACACACGAATCATCGAGACAGAAGCGACCACGCATTTGCGATTCAAACGACGAGCCTGGAGATAACGGGAGCTGTCGTAGCTCCATCCAGAACCGAGAAGATCGAGTACTCAACTGTAACCCGAAATCGTCGGTCTCGTTACGCCAACACCCGCTTTTCCGGG